AGACTGGACTTCAAGGGCGATGAGATGGCAAGAAAGATTAATTTCAGATTAAAAGCCATCATAAAACAGACTTATCCAGCCTCGGAACGGATTCATCTAAATCACATGAATTGCTCATTAAGACAGTCATGTGTGGACAGATTCCTGCTCTGTGTCAACTTCCATAATATCTACCAGTTTACATGTACATTCCAATGCACATCAATTGGAAGAACAGAAAAGAGACTTAGTATCCGCATCTTTGAGCACATTCCATGGAAACTTAGACTAAGAGAACGACATATGCTCACTGGTGCAATCGCACACCATTTGCCTTGACAGTAGTCATCAGTTTGATATCTGAAGGTTTTGTCAAGGTAATTATTACACGATGAGCATCAAATTTACTACGGTTCACTAAGATCAATAAGACCAAATCTCTGCATTGACAAAACATCAACTATCGATTCGGTTTTTTTTTTGCGCTGATGACCTCATCATTCTTCATTCACAAAGTGTTGTTATGTAATTTTTGTTGATGATGAATTAATTATTCTCAATTATTATGTGATCTGTGAACTCAGTAAATTTTGTTTTAAAGGTTACTACATGCAACTACTATAACATTAATGTGTTATTTTCAAATAATTCTGTTTCTATGTTCTTCATTGTTTATTCCAAACTATTCTTATATTCAATCGTTTTAAATATTCATATTAATTAACATACAAATATTATCATTTATGCAGTCTATGTTGCTGCTGTATAAAATGTGATAAATTTTAGAAACAATTTTTACCATTAAGATAGAAATTGTTTTTTTAAAGTAACTAAAAGAACAAGGTGTCATTGTAAATCGTATTATTAATAATTAGTTTTGCTCAATAGAACTGAAATTTTAACTTTCTAGCATATAATGAAATTTTTTTATAGAAAAATTAACTGTAAACACGATAAATAAAACCCATCTACTGTTTAAGTGGCCAGCGATCTGACTCTTAAAATTTATAAATAATTCAATCTTCTATGAAATAAATCTCCCCTTCAGATTTCATATATCGTACTTAGACAGGCCTCGCTTGAGAGATGACGCTAATATATGGACAAAAACCAATTCAATTGGATGAATTTATTTCAGGCGATTGTACGTGCAGACAGACATATAAGAACGAAAAGATACAAACAAAACAAATCGAAACGAAATGGAGAAGGCGAGTTAGCCAATTCCATGTAACGAGGCCAGACTTGCGATAAGCGAAGCAAGCGGCACACACAACAACAGAAACAACGAAAATGTGAGTGAATAATTAGTAAGTTCGAAGATGTATATTAGTACACACACTACACAATCGTATAGTAATAGTAGCGGTCTAAACTCTTAAAGAGCAGATGAATCCTCAGAGTACAATTCAAATGATCGGATTAATTGTGAAAGAGGATAAAACTAATGTAGTATAAGTAATCTAAATCAAAATTTTGGATAGCCCTATTTTGATTTATTTTGTAGTCAGGCTATTTCAATATTTTTTTTTACAAACTATTAAATTATGCAGCTAATTTGTAATGTTCAAATGAATTTTTATATTGTTCTTTGTTACAGACACACATAAATTCATAAAAAGGATGATAATGATCTCAATCATTTAACGAATTATTTATTACTTTCAAATTCACTAGTTGCTATTTATGTCACTAGTATTAGTAATTCATTAAACATGTGATAGAAATTCATTACAAATGCTTTCGGATTTATTCTGATCAACACGATTGAAATATTATATACAATCGTTTTTAAAATGTTTGTTAAAATAACATGTGAACAAAAGGAAACTAAATTAATTTGATTGTATATTTTCACTGCAAATAAGAAAATATACTAGTAAAGTATCGATCTGTTCATTATACACTGACTAAAAATGGACTGTGGTAGAGAAAATGTCACACAAAATTATCAATCTCTGTAATGTATTGAATGAAATACCACTATGGATCTAATTTAATTTTAAATGGTTTAAATTGTATCATTGGTGTTATTTTGATTGAATTTGGTCAATACAATTTAGTCGGTACATATGAAGTAGATTCTGGAGCAGTGGGTCTGAACGTATACAAGAGAAGAAGCAAACTACCGAAATACGAAGAAGCTTTTGAGGAGACGGAACCGTATTCACTGTAGGTGGAATGTGACCTGCAGCGAAATCAAGAAAGCGCGTTTTACCCTGTTTGGAACTCGTCGACTGGATGTGTGGAAGACCTAGTAATGAAAGTGGAAAAAGCTACAATAGACTGAAATATGATATAACGAAGAAGGTAGCCGGAAAATATCGTATGCCAGAATGACTAGACAAGAATAAAGAAGACAAACCATTTGCTGAGATCAGGGAATGGAGGAGAGGAGTTGGTGGGTAGAGCACCCTGCAGAGCTCTTGTATATACCAGCTCCACTAGAACCACCGGTCATCGAAGTAGCACCTGTGGACCGTCCTACAGATATTACCCACTAACAATGGAAGAGATTAGTATGACTACCAAGCAGATGAATAGAAGTAAAGCACTAGGACCAGACAACATGCCAGTTCGGCATTGAAAGCAAATATAGCAGTAAATACAAAGATTTTACGCTCTCTGTTCAGCAAGATTTAAAAGAAAGAATAGGTGCCAACACACTGGGAAGAGAGATGACTCACCATGACAATAAGGAACGGAGATCTTAGTATGTGTGAGAACTACAGACACATTACTCTACTCAGAATCAAGAAGAGTCTTCAAAAGAGTATCGTCGAACTAAGATCAACAAGCTGAAACTTTTAAGAACCGACTGTGTACCGACCGAATCACGACACTATGAATTATTTTTGAACAACCAACGAGATGGAACCCATCGCTATGCAACAACTTCCATGATTATGGTAAAATATTAGACAGTATGGACAGAAAAATAATATGGGGACTTCTCCACACAACGCTGTACCTGGGAAGATAGTCAACATCATACGGAATTCTTACGATGGATTAAACTGTAAGATCGTGCATGAAAAACAGCTCATAGACTCATTCCAAGTGAAGACTGGTGTAAAGCAAATTTGCTTATTCTCGCCCTTTCTCTTTCGTGTGGTGGTAAAGAGAATTATGAAGGCAAACATCCCAGATAAAGCAGGGGATATCGTGGACAATTAGAATGCAACTGAACCATTTTGACTTCGCAGATTAACTAGCCCTACTATCCCACCTACATCAGTCAACTAATGCAAATGAAGTCGGCCAGTGTAGCAGTAGATTCCGGATCAGTAGGCCTCAAAGTATACAAGAAAAGAAGCAAAATGTCGAAATGCAGAGCTCTTGTGGAGACAGAAACGTATGCCAACATGAGCAGTATGATTACTAGCAAGGTGGATCTGCACAGATGCGAAGGCACTGATTAGAAAGGCAAGAGCAGCATTCTTAAAATTACAGAACATACGGGACTCAAAACAACCGTCAACCAACACCAAGGTCAAAGTTTTCAATTCAAACGTCAAAGCAGTTTTATTGTATGGAGCCGAAACTTGGAGAACCACGAAAGCCATCAACCAAAACATGCAGGTGTTCATCAACAGTTGTCTTCTCAAATACTCCGAATCCATTGGCCAGACACCGTACGCAACAACTTGCTGTGACATTGAAGAACGCAGCTTCTAGCTGAGGGAGAAGTTAGAAAAAAACACTAGAGGTGGATCGTGTACATTGCGGAAATCTACCGACTGCATCACGAGGCAAGACCTCAATTGGAATCCTCAAAAACAAAGGAATGAGGTATATCAAGCAACGCACTGCGGAAAGAATAGGACCGACTTGAAAAGAATGAAATGCATTTGGGAATAACTGGGAAAGAAAGCCCAAGACAGAGTTTTTGGAGAAAACTAGACGGTGGCCTATGCTCTATGAGTGTCAACAGGAGTGAGAAATATTAGGATTAAGTTTTCAACTTGTCTACACGGGATGCATAATGTTCTCCTCAATGGACAAAAACACAATTCATTAATGAAGTATTCCAGCAAAATAACTAAACCGCTTATTGTATTTATGTTGGTTTCCGCGAATAGTTTTCAAGTCAACTGACTCCAAGCTTGTACGTCACAACTTAGTAATCACCGCCAATTACCAAAAAATAGATAATTTTAAGTCAATCCTACTAAAATTCATAAAACTAATTTTGCTATTGTGACTAACTTAATTCTCAAACTTTCATCTTAAAAGTGAATAACGTTCCTTTGCCGAAATCAAAAGGAATCAAGTTTCTCTACTTTTTTCAATTGTTTCATTCGTTTTTTTCATATCTTCACAATCGTCTACATTATTTCCTTTTAAGGAAGTTATTCACATCGTTTAAAGTGTTTTTACAATGTATCAGGTACATTAAAATTTAACATAGTAAAATGTGTAATGAATCAATCATTTTTTGGAAGATTTTATTAATTTATAAAATAAATCACCTAATAATTCAACTGGTTAAATGATCATTTACTTAGTGAGATGCATTGATCAACTCAATCCCTAATGTTTAGCGGTAACCCACTATAATAAAACGCAAAAATCAAATTATCTATCAAGTTGATATTAAAGAGGATTTTTCGGTCTTCAGTATACACAGTATATTTATTCTAAGAATAAGTTGAACAACTTTGAGACTATAACTGGCTAAGTCAATCAGGAGAACACAACAATTTATGAATTACTGTTTCCGCCAAAACCAAGATATGAACAGTTTAAAGTAGTTGCATTATGAACAATGTTAGTTCACGAGAAGGACCTTAATTAAATCTCCTAATGGTGAACCCCAAGATTAATCTTAAACCTATTTTCTTAAATGAGCCGTGAACTTAAATCAGTTCGCATATATCGACGGTTTTGCTCAGTTTTGCTGGAAAAAGGTCTTCGATTGAGAAAGAAAATAACTAACGAAATAGACATTTTTAATGTTTCTCGCTGAATCAGTGATAAATTAACCCCCCCCCCCCACATATATATACAAAAGAATCAAGTGAGAAACAAAGAGACATTTATTCTTCCGTTTATTTTTTTAGAAGTATGAAAAGAAAACTCAAATATTATTACAAAAAAAAACAACAGTTGACAAGAAAAAATATTGCTTTTAAAAATTTCTAGAGATATCACAGATATGTAAACAAAACTGTCATTAACTTTTAAATACGACACAATAATAAATAAGATGTAAATGTCTAGGCATATTATCCAAAATCCATTCGTTTTATTACTAACATAATTGCGGCAAATTCTTAATGTTTTCACTCTGTAATTACAATTAAGTGGAAAAGATTATACTAACGATAAAATGTTTATGAATATTACAATTGAGATTTAAGTGATTTGGAATAACACTAATTTCATTGATTCTGTATTATAATTGATCGAATTACGAAGATCTACAATTAGATTCTGAAGATTTACTGTTTTCTTAAGCCGGGACTAAATATTGAACTTTATTTAAAACCAATAAAAACGAACTAGACAAACTGAAATTATTTGAACTACTGATACAGCTGACATGGAGAATCATTTTCAGTGAAATATGTCGATGTCTGTTTTGTTGAATTATCAGTATGATGGAAGTACACAATTAGTAGAAGTCAAACTATAAGACATGAATAAAAAATTATTAAACTGATCAAACCCCATGAAATAATGACAAACCTACTTTAAATATATCAGTCAAAATACGCACACATTAATCAGATCGTATATTTTTGATTTCATTCAGTCTATATGACAAGTTAGTGGAATTTTGTATCTTACAGTCCTGCACTTGTACCGACCTTCCACCAGCAGTAAACGTATCATTCAAGTAGTTAGATGTTTCAACTTCTATAAACTCTTTGACTGCTAATCGAATAGAGCTTCACTCTGAAAAAGTTTCAAGGTATTATTTTGTGTTCGACAACCCGATAATATGATTTAGGCACTCTTATATCTGTGTTTAATACATGTTCAGTTGTTCAATTTCAATACTTGTTCAATACTTGTTCGATTGCACTGTGGTTTAGATCAGTAAAAATGAGTTGAGCTATTTGATTTCCGTAATGATGAATTTCTGATTCCATTTTGATGCTAAGTAGAGTATTTTGGATTATTCCATTATCTTTGTGTTATGATTGAACAGTCAAACAGATACAGAAATTAAGATAATAATGAATACAAGTGTAAAATATTTTTTGTCAGGTAGCCAAATAATGTAAATAGAAGCCTTTTAGGAATAATAATAATAATAATAATAGTCTATCCAGTATTATATGTTCAGTACATTATGAAATTCTGGCCCTTTACAAAATAACCAGCGATCTCCAGTTGGAAGTAAACTGTTCATGAATCGATATCTTATTAACTTTCATTCGTAACTAAACAGACTACCAGTCATCGTAATATCTTGAATTTTATTTTTTTATACCTTGTGAAATCTTTTATATACCCTCCGGAATAGATTATGCAATAAATAAACATAGCTGACCAGTTAAAACAAACAAAAAGAGGCAACTTGTTGAAATCAGGTAATGCAAATATTCAAGCAGACCACCAATAAAACTTGACAAGAAGGTAAAAGTAAGAAGTGTTTGAAAAGAATCTGAAGAGCTGTTCCAAAAATATGTGATATGAGACCTTAGGTTAGGGTTTCTTCATTAAGATCGATAGTTCAACAGTTTCAATTTGTAATAGAATATTTTTTGAATATCTATTGCTATACAACGATTACATTTCATTTCTGTATGCCATAAACGTCTCTCAATGTAATAAAGAAATAAATTTTATGTCGATTTATGTGATCTATGTAACATTATTCTTTTCTCATCGAGTTTCAGTGATTCACACACTTTTGCATATTATCAAAACATAAACGATGATTTCGAAAAAAAAAACACAACCAGAAACAAACTATGGTGAGAAGAATCGAAATGTATGTTGCATGTGACACATTACGTGAATAATTTATTTATTGGTGGAATTAAAGCATAAAGACAACTTTCAGTAGTGTTAGAAGTGATGCAATGGCTCAATCTCAACCACTTTTGGGCTGAAAATAAACTAAGCATTTGTGTTACGGGTTAATCTGAAAAAGACATGGGCTTAATTTTTTCATAGTAAGATAAAGTTTTATGGAATTTCGGCAATATCCACCCAAGCACTTCACCAGTGTTTACATAAATGGTTGTGAGTTGACCCAATGTATTTACTACTTAAGTGAGACACTACTAAATCATAATTACTTTTGTACGCGCAAATAACAAATTACCACCAGATGGATTTAAATTGAACAGTTTATGCAAATAAACTGTCCGCTGTTACCAAATTGTTCTTTAAGAATCTGAGATACAAAGTTCACGGATTTTAATTTATATGAAATTGAGTAGTTGGTACATTTAACAATTTAGTTGTGATTCTTTAAGCTGATAATGTTATCTACATTATGGTCAGCCATAGAATGGTACTTTTCATATAGAAGTTAATTTTTTAACTCAGTTGATAGGGAATGTAGTGCCTTATTTAGCAATATGTACAGTTTGTCACAAATGAATGTTACAAAACACCTATCAGAATGTAAAAATTTAGTATAATTAAAAATCAACATCAAATAGATTACTTGTATTGAAAAATGTCTTCAGAGAAATCAATGGATTAGATCATGTTAATTATCATTACAAATATGTACGCATGCATAAGACAAATGTAAATTAGTATCAAAAATCTGCCTACCTAATTCAACTGGTTTGATTGATCTGTTTTTACATCGCACGTAATGCCGATTCCACTGCATCAGAACATGCTCTAAAGTGTTCGGATTGAGCTTTTAAAAGTTTTGTCAACTCTTCTTTTTGCGAATCCTAGGGCATTGTTAACGGTAGTTGGAGTAAGTAGAAGCAGAAGTATTAGTATTATTTTGTAGTAAACAATAAAATGAAAACAGAAGCCAACTAGTCACATTTTCATAAAGATAATAATCAGTAAAATGATCTAGTCTGGAAATATAAGATTTTTCTAAATGGTTGATAAACTGAATCGATCTCGAAGTCTTTATTAATTGCTGAATGACCTGAGTACCAAGTTTCTATCAATTCTATTAGGCTTTCGTAAATCTGAGATTTTAACATATCACTGTCGAACGTGTATTCGAAATTGTTCATGTGATGATGTTTAATTTTTAGCTGATGCGCATACAAGTGAAGACAAGCTGTCAGTCATATAGAGAAATATTTGCCTGTTTCTCTTCTACCCCAAAGTTTATGCAGATAACTTTGCTCAGAAGAACAATCTAACCTTTCCCACTAAATTCTATAACTCAGAAAACGAAACTTTAGTGAAAACAGGATTCTTTTGGATGGTGTTTTCCTATATTCTTTACCGTGGATTTTTTTATCTTCTCAGTAACGGGTTCATAATTAGTTTTCAGTGGTGATCATAGTCAATCTCGACTCAATCGCCACTAAACAGTAATGAATGGTTATTAGAAATAACAATAAATGTGTAAGTTAAGCGTAATACTAGATCAGTGTTTTAAAGAAAGACATCTTAAAAAAATATTCACAACTTTTTAGATCAACCATGTCATTTTCTACTGGAGTTTCTTTCCTAGTGTCAATAAAATCAACATTTATAAATGGAATTGAATGCTAAGTTATGTGAGAATCCTCCATTTATTTATTGTCATAATAACTACAGTTCTAAAATGACTAAAAAAGGCTTACGAATTTGTCTATGCTTTGTTGTAAACACCGTTTAGTAGTTTCACACTGTAAACTAAAAGCTGATTCTGCATCTTTCAACAATCGATCGAATTCCTAAAACAGGAAAGAAATACAATGATATTTTCAAATTTAATGATGTAATGTAATGTAATGATGTAAAGTAATTTTTATGGAAATTTTATTAAAGGAGCAGTTTGTGGTAATTTTTTTGAATTTTTCAGTCAACCTCACAGACTAATCCTGTATGCTAGACTAGAGATCCAACTGTTAAATAATCACTATAAAACTTGGAAGTCTTGGGCCAATGGTAGTCACTTCTGAAGAGTCATCTGTTAGAATGAAAACAGCTTTTTATTGCTTACTGATTTTTCATAGTTATTCAACTAGGAGTAATCCGTAATGCAAGCTATGAAATCAAAGATTTGTTAAATTCTGAACATTTATTTTATGCACTCATGTTCTTGCAACTAACCACCAGTAGTTTCATGTGTGATGAAATAAACTGATCACTTAAATCTTTTTATTTTTTTCGATTTTTGCAGCTGTAATTGGTAGTCTATGTTACAAAATTTTCCAAACTGAAAACTTATGACAGTCACTTGTTTCGTTAAATGTACAGAGTCATATTGATTTTTGAGTGGTTGTCTTTCGATCTGTTCGTAATAAAAATGGTAACTTCTAAATAGCCCTCTTCACACAGAAATGTCTTGTTCTAAAACCATTACAAAATATAATAGCTAAACCAAACAAAAATGGATTCTCAAATACCAGGTTTGATCCTTCTAACAATAGAGGCGGTTTCATGGGCATACAAACAAGAGCAGGTTGATTAATCATATGATCGATCACTCCAACTAAACCAAAAAAACAATAGGTAACCTGTCAAAACCCCACTTTCTAAGTCAATCAAATGATACAAAATGCCTAATACAACGTTAAGGTAATCAGATCTAATACTAAACAGACCGAAAGAAGTTAACATGTCCCACAGTTGAACCCAAAATTTCTGTGTACGGAATCTGCAAGACATAACGCTCCTCATTACTTCTTCATTGGACAAGATGAACTACTAGCTCACGTACCCGACACTCAACCCCTACAAGCAGTTAACCTTACCTAACTGTCTGCTAAATCAATTTTAGTAGTTAAGATTACCTCACCGCAATAATAATTATTTTAATCCACAGATGCCCCTGGTCCTTCTTGTCCTACAAGCTTGTTCAAACCATAGCCCATATAATCAGGCACTCAAGCCAAACCGTAGTCTGGTCACCAATAAAATGCATAACGTAGATATAAACATTATCGATTTTTTATACTCCATACTTCCTTTTTTAAACTCAATACTAATCAGTGCATGACCACTTCTAAATGAAATTCCGTCCTTTAGAACCTGAGCGTTATTAGCCAAACCTTTTTTCGTACTTGTCACTGAAACATGGTGCTATTTTTCAAAGTCTAATTTAGAATTAAATATTCAGAACTACTAGCTCTATCGCTGTCTTCTATTTGCCCTAAGTGGCCTGGCAACTAACAAAGTTGAAGACAGTGTCTTGAGTAGTTCACCTGAATCGGCATGGACACCACTCAACGCTCTGAGTCATAGTCCACTCCTTGGATGCATCAACAGAGCACCCCACCCTTCGGCTAGTCTGGATGGTCTTATTATTAATGCATTTAGACATTCATCAGCTCTAAATTTTGATACGAAGGTCACTGTAGGAGAACTAAATTACCCTGGAATAAATTGGAATAGTGCTAGTGGTCAGTCAGGTGATGCTGAACTTTTAGCAACCAACAGGACACGATAATATACTAAATCTAATAATTTGAAGAGATATTATTCCACTATCTATGCATTCGTACAATGAATTTGAATGTAGTAACTATAAATAGTCCCTCGTATAACCATCCCACACAGAAAATTAATCGGAATAGGGATCACAAACATGCTGACTGAGATACCTTCTTATTAAGTAATAGCCTTGTGGATGTCATTGGATGTCATTCTGTATGATAATTAACTAGTTTTTAGATTCGTGTGCACCTCTAAAAACATACTGGACTAGTAAGCCTAAACACGTAAGAGAATCACAAAGTGCAGATATACCACGTATCTTGCATAATGACATATTCAGAAACGACTCTAAAACCATTACAAAACTTTGCTGTAGTATTTTTGCTCATAGTAATGAGTTCCTAACCAGTACTAGCTTGAAAGTCATTTATGCGACTGATAACTCACTACATTCACTTTCTTCCGTTTATCTAGCTATAAGTACAGCTATTAACTCTCTCGAGGTTTCAAACAATTATGGAGTGAACGGAATTCCATCCACTTCCTTTATATATAGTGGATTTGTTATACCACTACTTCTTCTGAAGACGTTTACTCTCATACTCTTTTTCGAGACTGGTACATACCTAACTGTTGGAAAACCTCATACATCATACCACGCTACAAATCAAAACAATTATCAACCCTTAAACTTTACTCTGCTTATCTCTTGGGTAACGAAGAATTGTTAGTGACAAACTTTCAGGAATTAACTTACTGAGAAACTTATCGCTCATCCTCGAAATGGCTTCCTTAAAAATCGATCATATGTGACATGCCACTGACATCTTCAAGTTTGTTTTTAATCAACGGAACGAAGGACATCTAGCCTTAAAAATATACACTGATTATTCAAAAACTTTCGAAACGGTTGACCAAAAGCTCCTTAGAGGAGAACTCACATCTTAAAAAACCAGAGATATTATTATTACGTGGATAATAATTTCCCGAAGAACACAACACAAAATAATTAAAACAGAATACTTATTCAATGCTAATACGAACACAAATCAGACAGATAGTCAGCTACAACGTAGATCTTCGCACATACATCAGGTTGCCACACCACATTAGCACAAAGAGGCGACTGTCAGTTCAAATCCCATGGTGGTAGAGATAGTAGAAATATTAGCGGTAATCAAAAAGATTAGGATTCGAAAATTTTATTCAGGAAGTATAATTCAGTGAAATAAATTTAGAAAAAGAGAGATAGAGGTGATGAGGAATTCAGAAGATTGCAATTTCAGAGAGCACAAAGGGTGGATGCACCTGCGCCATTGCAAACAAGTTGAAGCCATGTCATTCAAGGTCTCTAACCATCGGTTACTATCGTCTCGCAGACCCCAACCAAGTAGTCTGCACCTACCAACACAACTCAGTCCGTTTGTCAGTGACTTCATTGATTTGTACCATGTTTTGGTCTGACCGGCACTAGCTTTCTTCCTACCTACCTACCCTACACCACAAAACATCACTCGTTGGAACAGTCAACGTTTGAGCATACGCAACGCATGTCCCAATCATCTCAACTGATTACGTTTCAATACTTCATCTATTGATTTGCCTTCCCTACCTAGTACCCGTTTCCTAACAACATCAATGCTTACTCGGCTGTCCAGGATACACGAGTAATGCTTCGGAGATACCTATGATCGAAAACCAGTAACCTACTGATATCCTCTACTCGTACCGGCAATGTTTCACATCCATATGGTAGAACGTAGCAAACTGCCGTGCAGCACACTCGTCCTTTGGTTAGCAAACGGGTTTCTCGCCTACACCGTAAGTGAGGCACTTTGGCAAAAGCCAATCGAGACTTCGGTGTCCGTGTTGAGATTTCGTCAGTCACCAGGCCATCAGCACTGACGAGACTCCCAAGATAAGTGAAGCAGTTTACACGCTCAACAAATATAGTGGGACGTCGAAATGTGTGTCTATGTTCCAAGACCTGACGTAGTGTGAATATCTGGTCTATACAGCCACGTTCTGGTCGGAAACCAGCCTGCTTTTCTCGAGTCAGTTGTCCACGAGCTATAGTTAGGTGTCTAGGTGTCATTGAGGCCAATATTTTAGATACTATGTTAGTTAATCTGATTCCTCTGTGATTATCACAAGAGGACTTTTGTCCTTTCTTGTAAATTGGGACAATCAGCGATTGAGACCAGTCAGAAGGTATTATGCCTAGTTCCCAACCATTCTTTTCTGCGATAATCCCGCTAACAGATGGATTCATAGTACCAGATTCCTTGGTGAGGCGGAATAGTTGTCTACTGGTACGTATTGCCGCTGCATTTTCCATAGCTCTCGCTTTTGCAATACACCACTGTTCGCGATCGTTGAGAAGGCTTTTTATCAGCCTGCGCCTAAGTTGACTTCCCTCTTCGTAATATTCAGAGCCAGGCGGGTGACTTTTCGACAATACATCAGTTCGGTAAATGCTACTGAGATCCACGGTTTCTGCCTGACCTTATGGTTAACCTTACTAGCAGCAGCTTTTTTGACATCGTTCCAACCTGTCTCGGGTTGGAAATCACTTACTACATGGCGGTCTAAATGATTTTCTAGTTTCTCCTGAAATATATTCAAAGCTAAGCTATCCCATCATTTGTATGAGAATTTTTAAAGTGTTATCTCCGCTCTTTTTTAAAGGCCTTACCGCCTCTTACGGAAATCCCTGAGGTAAGTTGAGGTGTGACATCTTTAGGGTTGACCTTTTCTAACCCCTCCTTCCTTGTGAGAAAGCAGCATCGCTGCTGATGCTGGTTGTCCAAGGGAAACACCTTACTGCTCTTTCACGTGACAGAACAGACAGGAACATATGTTCCAGCCAATAAAGGCCTGTTTGGTCATCACGATAGGCAACCTCGAACACCATGACAAGGTAGTAGTTGCGGGCGGGCCGATCAAATGTTTGGCAAAACAAGACTGTATTTTATGTCTCTTGCTCATTTTAGCTTACATAAAAGTTATTTCCATTCGTTTCTGTTCAGGTAATCCTCTGTTATATACGAATGTTCTGAATGTAGTGTGTCTATTTTTCCCCCCAATAAGCTGCACATCATGCAAATCTGTTTTATTTTGGAGCTCAATCAGGTGGCCTAATGGTTCTGAAAATGGAAGTTACAGTTTAAGACTGCCATGTATGGATGGATATGCTTTGATAAGCCTTTAATCAACCTATGCTTAACCACAAACGGTAAGGTTTTATCGAAATTTCGTAGAGTAAAGGATTTGGGACTGAAAGACTCCTAGCATTTATCGTTCGCAGAACAGCTATCTAAGCAAAACTCTAAGACTCAACGTCTCCTGGGTTGCATAACTGATGATCTCTATAACAATGAATCATGTATATTAATGCAAAAACTGTGCTTGACCATTCTTAGAATACACTTTTATTCTTAGTAGTGTTTGCATAATTGATAAATTAAGTCTCAAATCTGTTCAGAGACGATTTCTACTACGCATTCTGGGAACTTAATGTACATTATGTTATAAATCCAGAAGTAATAAACTTGGACTCGACCATTTATGGAAGAGGAGATTTAAACTAAATTTGGTCTTTTTCTTCCAAATACTTAATAAACTATCTTTTACATCCAATCAAGCAATTCGATAATGAAGAAACTCTTAGTTATAGCTTACGTAATTCTTGTCATTAGTGATATTATCACATCCTAAATCTCCTTATGTGAATTATTTTATGAGTGAATCAACAAGAATTTCGAATAATTTACCGTGATCCACCAGTGAAATTAAATCACCCCCATCATTTGTTTGCTAGATCAATTTCTACTATTCCAAAGAAAATGACTTAAATGTGCTTCCAGCCTTGTATCCAACTATGCAAGTGAGATTATAGGAATTATAAATGTTTCTTAGTTAAGCTGCTTACTAGCAGATAATTTACATTATCCACTGTAAATTTAATTAATTTGAACAGTATCTGACCATAAAACAACCGTGTAAATGAATCATCGTAGACCTGATAGACCTAACTGACCTGTTATTGCTTTCGTTATTCTATGCTTTATGTTTCTTTTAATTTTCTCTAGTTTTAGATTATTATAAACAATCCCATATGGGAACTAAATTTATTACATCTGTAGTGGAACGCTTCTACGAAGAAAACTCGATTTGTGAAAAACAAACATTTACTATTGTACTCGTTTTGTTTAACTCTACCAAAAACACTTGCTAGCGCGCAACTTTCCTTTACGCGTTGCTGCCATTTTTCATAACTTGCTGCTCTATGTAATGCCTACTGTCTCCTTCAAATAAATATTGGACCACAGATTTATTTCTATAATATGTGACGGGATAGTATTGAATATTTAGTGGTGATCATAGTCCATCTCGATTCCGTCACCACTAAACATCGTTCGAACAGAAACAGGGTGTCCATTTAAAATGAATTAATAGCTCCTGACTAACGCCTTTCAATACTGTTATACATGTGAAAAATGTGCTTCCTTAACGATTTTCGGACTAGAACACTTCAAGCAATATAACATGATAAATCTATCTTCTAAACTGAACGTTTCTATCTATATCAAGTTGGTCATGCCTGTAAACTGGCGTGAATTCTTTAATTATTATTTCCAGAGTTTATTATTATTTACCCTAAAACAAAATGAAATCAAAATATTTATTTTCACTGATGAAACTAAATTTATTAAAAGACTATAAAATATCATCATTTTGTAAGTGCGTACATTTTCGCAGTTTACATCAAAAGCTGATCTTAGTCGGACAACAATTGAAAATCAGACTGTATTAAACATCCGTCTTGTCGTAGTATTAGACTCCGTAGTACTACTCATCTATCGCCCTACTACTTGGAATCGAATCCAGCACCTTCGAATCTTTCTGAGATCGTTTAATCTGTTTTCGTTGGTGTACATATCTAACTTCACTCGGTTCACGATATTGTGCTTTCACCTTCCACCACCTGAAATGAATAACTGTTTCGCACACAACACGGTTGATCTCAGATAGCCAAGGTCTCTCCCTAGAACTGGGATTGCTTCTTGAAATCATCCATCAGTGAGCAAAAGATTATCACTAGTATAAGGAATTAGTCTGTGATGTAACCTATAAAAATATGGTAATTTCCACAAACTTACTACACTGTTAAACTCAATTTACTAAATATCCTCTGATATGAGTAGATAATAATCATATCACATAAACTGAAAGTTATAAATCAATGAGAAGATTTATATATTTCTTTCTACATTTTTTCAAGTATTGCATTTCGCTTATTTCATTTCATCATTCACTCACATTTCTTATTATTTATTTTAGTTAGGCAAATAAAACCTGTTTACAGAACTAATCGTTGAACAAATGGCATACTAGTGAAAAGCGCAAAAGCTTCAAAACATAATACAATACTTACATTTTGCTTGTTACTTTTTGCACGTTTCTGTGATGTTCTAATACGATCTAAATCCAATCGAGCATTTTCCAATTTATCTCGTTCTTGCTGTAAATATCCATCAAAAGAAAAGTCTAGTCATACACAGAAAAAAGGCATGGGAAATAAAGAAATCCCTTGGTAAATATAGTAAAACTATGGGTTTTTACAGTGGGCCATCTTCTAACGGATCGCTTCAACGCCAATATTCAGAACACAGTACTTGATATAACAGCACGTGACCAAGATCTATACAAAGATGACACTTTTATTATTTGTGATGAAAATGCTGACTTAAAGAAAAGATCATATGGTAGATTACAATCTGAAATGACTAATATAAGAATTTTCATAGTTCAGTTCCGTTAAATATAAGGAGAAATTTAATTTCAGTCCTCAAATGTTAGTCAAATATGTCCCGAAAATGCCACTGATAAGGAACTACTCTAGCCACAACAATTATTCATCAAAACTGACCGACCATCCAGGTTTATTGAAGGAAACCTGGAACCAGAACTACAATTTACAAGACGACCTATATTTCTAAACAGCACTCTTCTTATGAACATGAAAAACTGTCATACGAAATCTTAAAAAAAAACACTTTTTGTGATGTTGAGCTTGCTGTTGTCTTTTTCAGATGCTTTGTCGTTTGTGGATGTGTCAGAGATAAATTACCGCATTGCGTAACGTCAATGTGTATTTATAAGTTAACTTTCTCTTGCGCAGTAGGTTATACTAATGGCACAAAGCGAGGGCTTTCCAAACACATATCTGAATACCATCTCACATCGTTTTTGAAAGGCGAATGTGAAACAGTTGGTAGTCTAATATTAGAGCACCTTATTAATTCTGGCTACGTTTCCCCATTAGATATATCCTTCAATTATCTCTAAAATCAGACGAATTGGTTCGAAAGGAGCACAAATCAACAAATTGTTCACATCAGATTTGTTAGCATTTCATATTTTCAAACCTGAGCAGAAGTGAAGCATTCAACTTACCAGATCACTCTAGCTCTGTTAATGAACTTAAGATATTCGAAAAACCAGTTGTTAACATTTCTAGTGGTATTTTTGTTATTATCACTTTTGCCTTCTTTCAAAGTTATTTTTCACCCCTCTCATACTTGTCAAGTGGACAAGGATTCTTCACAAATTTGAATTTATCTTATCATCCTTCAGGAAATTATCAGTCGTTATGTAATCTTTCTTGGACATCTAAAATTACATAATACTTTGTCTATTTTTCAATGAACTACTTAATTTGCTAATTAACTATAACTACCATCTTATAGCCTGAGCAGATGATATGGTCTAAAAGAAAAACAATTTTTGTTGAATTACCTCTCATTCTTGCTCAACAGAAATACTAATGATAAGTTAGATAGATATACATAGTGTATTCACCCTTGTCAAATGTAATTACAGAATTTATGAATTAAAACCACAAATCTATTTGCCGTATAAAAAAAATCTCATGACAATAAACCATTAAAATTATATGACTTGCATTCATATGATCATGAAAACATGTTGTTATTATTATGGATGAAATTTCTAAGATTTAAAAAAACTGCTTTTTAATTTTAAACCAATGCTCAATCAAATAGTTTTACAATTTGTTAGAAATATACTAGGTAGTAATAGTGACGAATTATTTATTGAAGCAAATTATTTGGAATATCAGTCAATTAGTCAAACTGAAAAATTTTTCTATTCAATCATGAATGCTTTTTTATTTCACTGTGCCTAAGTTTTGAGATTTTACTGTTCATAAACAATTTACCATTTAAATCATTCATAAGAAGTAAATCAGAGAATTTGACAATATATTGTGTAAATTCTAGACACACTAATGAATCAAAAATTAAGTTCTCTATTTACTGAGTTGAGTCACAAAAATATAAACACATAGAATTATTTAGTCTAGCAAGTTTTTTAATAGCCAATATAGGCTTAGCATTCAAATGTTTGAGTAAACAAACACATTGTACACCTAATTTATAGCTAAACAATCATTAGAGACCAGAAAACAGTGAACAGAGTATTCATGATCCTACCATGTGTGTACTGTTTCTTGATTTTCAAGAACTGTTCAGCTCGTTGCGTAAACTATGAATGTCAATAGTCTTCATAAACTTCCTGTGATAATACAGTGTTAAATGCTTAGCTGTTAATAACTAATTCTGTTGAACATTCTATTTTAACTACTTTTACACTTTCACTTAAGAGATTACGGAAACACGTCAAATGTTTTTGAGTAGTCGACAGAATATTATTCAGTAGTTTTGCTGCAATTGAACGGGTATTTTTTAGAAAAAGAGAAGAGATTGCTATGCAACCAAACAATACGTATTAATCATTTAACTAGACATATACGAACAGAGTGAACTGAAACTTAAATTTTAAAACAGAGCATGTTTATGCATGTAAGTATATTTTCCTAAAACTTGATATTTATGCCAACTATGAGAAAAATACTTGTTTAGACATGATATTTTAATGTAGAAGAGAACGAGAGGAAGCAGAAAAACAGTTCTTTTACTCTTCTAAATATTGATAATAAGAGAAAAATCAACATGATAAGAATTACTTTAGCTAATTTGGCTTCAGATGCTATATAACAGCGTAACCATGCAATGTATTCTGAAGAGACAGTTTCCTGTAATTTTCTTTCAGATTGACCAATTTCTATTTGAGCTGTTGCACATTTTTTAAGTGCTTCACCTGATGAACCTAGAAATTAAGTATCATTTTAATTATTACTCCGTGTACGTATGTATATAAATCAGTGTATGATTCGATGTATAGCGAAAATAAAAGCTAATTTAAAACACAATTGATTCAAGCGACTACATTTGAAAACTTATTTTCTAACTTGTTTCGATCTTGCACATTTAGTCTGCAACGTTTGAAAGGATAAAATTCGTATTGTAATTGGAGTTAAGCTTGTACATCATTGAACCTATGCTCAATGGTCTGAAAGTTAGGCGTCCAGGTGCAAGCATGATCTTGAGTTTGATTCTCGGTCCCAGGGTTCGTGGATGTGAACGGCTATGGAGTCCCATACTAGAGGACATAACAGTTATCAAGTGCTTTCAGATTTTTAGCAGTTGTCTATTCTAGATCGATTCGTGATTTCGTTAAAATATGTAATCAAGTCTACATCTTTCCTGACAATACATATATCTGTTTCTATGATACATAGTGGAAAACATGAAATTAAGTTGACTCATCATATCATATCACAAGCGAAAGATGTACATAACAGATAAAGTGCGATTTTATTTGCTTACTAGCATTCATTTAACTAATGATCAAATGGAGTGAAATCTTATTCACTGAAAAGAAATGGAAAACGTTCAATTGCTATTTCTGTTGAAATAACAAGCAGGAATTCACATTTTGTCTTAGATATATCATTTACTAATGGCTGTGAATGTGATAAGGATCAGCTCCGAAAAAAAAGAATATCACACTTTCATAATTAAAAAAACCTAGATATTGATTCGAATCGAGACGTCATCATGTGTAGCACAAGTGACACAAAAGAAAAATCAATTCCCTATAACTTTTTCCATTGATAAATTTAGCTAGAGTAAGAACAACGAGCGTGGCAGAATAAGATGAACTAAATTATTTCGTGGTTTCTCGTCAGATGTTTACAACCTAGAAGCGATAATAACAATTATTCACAACCGATCTACATTCTTTATGTCATATTAGTGATGATGAGCAGATTAACGTTATTAAATACAGAATAATTATAAGGTGGTAAAGTAGATAAACATTCACGTGAAAATTCCAAAAGAAAAATCTCTTTTAAAAAACACGTGAAAACTTTCGAGACAATAAGAATTTATGTCAAAATTAGGTAGTAATAGCTACAAAATTGTATAAACTAACACAGTAAGATGAGTAATTCTCAAAGAATAACTGGAAAATAAATGAAAAGATCTAATTATATAAGGAAGCTATTAGGCAGTTGAATGTTGAAGAGTGGAAGTTACCAGGCAGTGAGGGTTTCACAGTTGTACCCTTTTGAACACACAGGTTCAACTTCAACTTTTTAATGGTAACAGTCATGATGCAACGTAGGAAATTAGAAGTCATCTGAGCTTGGATTTAAAAAGTCAACAGTGTGTTTACTGTCAAATAAATGACATCAACAGTACTGCGAAAATCCAAACTCCATCCTTGTTTTCTATTTGTGTTTCCTAAATACCTTAATTTGATATATACTATATTTTCGCCTGTGAAACAGGTTTCTGTATGATTGTTCATTTATTCGTACTCTTGATTTAGAAAGAATGTAGATATTGGAGTTTTGACCACATTTGTTTTTTCCATTCTGCCAAGTCTCAAGTGCAACGATAGAAATTTAGGTATAGATTTGATTCCAGTGTGTGTGATGCTTTAAGCACTAGGGTGGCATCATATTCAACAGATATATACCGTGCATAAAAGTCTAGACTTTAGAACAACCGGATAAAATAGAATCGTCTATCTAATATACAAAAGTTTTGACTGAAACAAAGATCGCATTTCATAAGTTTTAAATCATACGGAATAATAATCACTGATCCTCAGGAAAGGCAACTAAATATGTGCTCGATACATCTTATAATCTACAACAGTAAGAATAAACATGTGGTTGAAGATGCCTAAAACACATTATATGTGAGTAACAGATAAAATCACATGTGTCTATGTCCGACTACGTCTTTCACATATACTAAGTGCTCTAATGCGACCTATTTCAAAACTCTGAAAGATGTCGTTTATGATAAGCCTTAAGTTACTTTTCGTATTTACATTTCCACATTTTATCTAGATGCAAAAACTATAATTTAGAATATTGGCAAGTCATCGATCCTCCTACTTTGAGTATGAAAATATCTAGCTGAATAATTGTGTATCTTATCGTATCAATCCATTTACATATAAATATATCAACATATGTAATAATCCAAGAGTACGAACTCAGATTTACTTTATAGACAATGGAATCGCCCTGATAGATGGAAACTGAGGAACAATACTAAACCACTATTCAAGATTTATATTTAAATCCATACTCGTGTGATTTAAACGCCCTTATAATATTGTTCATCGAAAGGTTAATTGTATTATTTGTCAACTTACCATAATGAGAATTTTTATTAATAAGGCTACTAATGCGATCCATACTTTCACCCAGTTGTTCATTAGCACTAACGCGAACTTTCTCCCTATTCATTCCTTTGAGTATGAAATCTTCAATTCGCAGGGCTGTGGAGAAAAAATTAGAAAATCAACCGCTAAACAAATATTCTGTTTTAAGAAGAATTTAAATAAGTATATTCTAGATATTTTCAATCATAACATGTAATTTGATTATCCAAGTGAATATAGAATGCAAATGGTTGTTGATTTTTGAATTGTGTGAATAAGTTTTATGTAGAATAATATCTTGAATCAACGACAACAAAATATGTTTCATTTAACTTTTCTTTTAAAGATATTCTGGTACTCTGATGCTGATGTTTTTGTTTAGTGTAACTTCCTATATAATATCTAGTTTCATTTACCTTTATTAGAAAATAATTCAAATCTCTATCTCATTTTGCATACTGCTTTAATTTTGTGTGTTCTCTTCTTTAAGCTCAAAGATTTATTAGCAGATGTACTTTAGAAAATGTTTTATATGTTTAGGAATATCAGTTACCAATTTTTACAAGGTTTGATTTATTCGACAAAATTCATTAATGAAGCTCTTAAATTTTCAGGATACAGATTGATTGCGCTCTGTATTTCAGTACAAAATTTCAATTTATGCCAATTAAAAAGGGTTCTACGTTTTCAGTGGAAAACATGAAAACAATCAATCAATCCATCAATAGCAACATAGAACTTCGTACGTACGTACGTACGTACATCAGTTCATGTTGCCATGTTTAGACGAGAATAAGGTTACATCTAGGAGCATGTCTATGATAAAATTAAACAAGAATCGAGAAAGTGAACATCCCTGACGGACACCACTGGAAGTGAAGAATTCCGATGACAGTTCGCCATAATCTCTCACTCGACCAGTGGTGTTGGAGTAGAGAGCTTGTATAAGGTTAATGTACTTCTTTGGTACACTTTTCAATGATAGTCGCTGCCACAGAACCTCACGAACGACAGAGTCGAATGTCGCCTTAAGGTCCAGGACATCAACTATTGTCGGACGCCTAAACGTATGTCTGTGTCCCAGGACCTGTTTGAGATAAGAAAGATGTTAGAGGGTGCAGGAAGGATTTGATTGTGATTAATTCGGTTTCGTCTGTGGTTACGGATATGAGGGTGGACGTCACTTCCAACTGCTCATACTGTGGAAAGGTGTTTCTTGAGGAGCCTGAAAACTGAGTTGGATTAGCGTTGGTCTTAAAGACCTGAGAGCATGGTCACAGAACCCAAGGGACAACTGCTAGAGGTCGGTCACGCAAGGACTTTTTATGATAAGTGTTTTGAGTGTTAGCTCGGCTTTTTTTTAAAGGCCTTACCGCTGCAGACGGAAATCCCTGAGGTAAGGTGAGGTGTGACATTTTTATGGTCGACCTTTTCTAACCCTTCCTTGTGAGGAGGCAGCATCGCTGCTGATGCTGGTTGTCCAAGGGAAACATCTTGATGCTCTCACCCCTCTGCAGTCAGCAGTACGACTTTGCCCTCAGACCTTGAGTATCTGCTTTCAGTCTCAACGTTCTCCAATCGACCTGCCTGACATGATAGAACAGACAGGAACGTATGTTTCAGCCAATAAAAGCCTGCTGGGTCATCACGATAGGCAAGCCCGAACACCACATCAAGGTAGCAGCTACGGTCAGGTGTAATACTCGATAATTATTGTTATGTTTGGTTCATGATCAGTTGTTTGCCTGTAGTTCACTGTTTAGAAATGCGAGCGCTTTGTACACTGTAGTGCATGTTTTTCACAATTTATCGAGTAAATTTTTATCGTCCAGAAGTGTTTATTGACGAAAGTCCATGTATTCGGATTGTTTTTTAAAGTAGGAAACAGTTTATGACTTAGGACGAACAGCAAGGTGTTTAATTCAAAATCATTCACTTTAAAATGATTCTATGCACATTTTTCAGATAAGTGTACAGTGATGATAAGGAACTAATTGCGAAAAAAATTTCTTCGTCTTATTTGAATTTAACGTATCTTTCTGAAAATATAAAAAACTAAAAATTAAATTCTTGGAAGTATTATAGTTTTCGGTGAATCAAAGTTAGCTTATTAAGCGGGTTGGTTGCATAGGATTACAGTCGTTTTGCCTCAGCGATTTTAATACAGCTCGGTTTTGTATCAAACCCTAGCAATCTTATCTTATGATTGAATACTCATGGAATCGTGGGAGATAAGGCCAGATCTTCATTTAAAACGTCTGAAAATTAGTGAACAAAATATACTAATAATCTTTTCAGTTATTAAATGCTGCAGTTGCGGAAAACGTTTTAGTGGTAGTTGTTTTACTTTACTATGTTCTATAAGCATCATGAAAACTTTACAAGTTAAACACATAAACCAGATTGGGTATAAATTTAATATCAGTAAATAAAGCTTGAATTTTTATAAACGTGGTTATTTATCAACACAGTGATAAAAAAAACTAGACAGATGACTTACGTTATCAAAAATTAATAGATATTACTCAAAAATACTAGGTTTAGCGCACATACTATGATAAAAATGGGTTACTTATGCTAAGAAAATGTGATACTCCATAAGTTACACTCATTCAGTAGTGGGGTTCCATGAGCTGAGGTTTTTAAAAAGCATACGAGTGTAGTCTCTTGAATTACATGATATATAGTATAAGACAAAACATGACTGAAAGTGCATTTTCTCTGTGAGAATCATAAATCTATTAATATCGATTCTGTTTCCTTGGAGATAAACTAAAATTTCGTTTTTCTTAGTTTTGCTGCCCTGTCATCTACTCAAACTTTGGGTGATGACATTATAACACAGATGTTTTAAGAAGGTAATTTTAAATACCTGATAACTATATGACAGAACGAATTTACGATATATACAAACAGGAATACCGATATTTGACAAGAAGCCTAGACGAAACGAAAAACCCCTACATTCATTACATCAGTGATCATGTGTTTTGCTTGGATTAGCGTTGAAAGAACGAATATTATGAGAATCCTTGTTTCATCGAATCACATAAGAAATTATCATAAAATGCAATTAAATTTTTCCGTCTGATCAATATCGCTATGAAAGATTACCTGGATTCGGTTGAATAACGTTTTCTATTTGTGCTAAAATGCTGACTGCCCAGTTTCTTCGTTTTTCACTTTCTTGGATGAGCTCAGTCAAATCCGTACTGTACATTGTTCTATCAGCTGTACCGAATGCCTCCTCAACAATCTATCGTTATAGCTCGGCAACGAGTCAGAAAGCCTAATACCTGGGAAAAACGACCAAAAAATGTGTTCGTATCATCCTTTATTTTCTTAGCGTCCATGGTTAACAGAGAGCGGTTACAAAATATACTTTTATTTAGAGCGGTTTACAAATTAGGAATCCCAAGTACAATATCCAATACTTTTTTCATGAGCTACTATAAACCAATGGACTTCCCTGAGTTCGATTTTTGTTATTTCGCAATAGTTCTGTGTTTTCGATAACGTCCAATGGATGCGGTTCTAGCCATTCGACTGCACTAATTCTAGTCGGTTAGTAGTTGTTTGTGAGTTTGTATGTCTCAGAATTTGAATGAAAACTTTTGTTTCAGGGCAGTACGGTTTCTGGTTACCAGCAGCTATCACATTACCAGACCATAGATCAGTTAGTTGTAATGCGGGGAATAAAATTAAGAGGATTCTAATTCTAATAAGAAGAATATTTTAGGGCCAAGTCAAACAATAGGTTACTTAGTTTATCAATTGGTAGTGAAGATTGTGAGAGAGGACCTAAGTGTAAGCAAGGGAGAGGAAACAGAAATGATAGGCGAGACAGACTAGTTAGTGATCCAAGGAGATGGCAATAATGATGACTAGCAAGTCTCAAGACATGCATCAGGAACAGCTTGTCCACAATGGAGATGATAATCCGTATGTGAGTACATGTTTATCAAGTCCCTTCTCAAGGCTCTTCACTGAGGGGGCTGTGATAACCTCGATTGGGAGAGCATTCCAAGCTGCAATGACTCCTAGTGACAAAACGTGTGCACGAACCTGAGTATTTGCTCGTTGCTGCGCAATTTTCCGAGGATTCCCTCGAAAGCAGTGGTAGTGAAGAATCGGTAAGATGCTGACGTTGGAATGACTTGGCGTGCTTAAAATGTTGTACACCATAACCAGATCACCTCTGATTCTCCTGTACCTCAGAGGGAATAATCACACGTTCTGGAGTCTATCTTCTTAAGTTTTAGCATTCAACCCTATCACCCATTTCGTTGCTCGTCTCTGCACTCGATCCGTGAGATTTATATCTCTGTTAAAGAGAGGGGGTGCGATGACGTTGTGAACCTCAAGGTGTGGGTGCGTGTATGTCTTAGACAGCGTCAAGAATAATTCAGGATTGATAGCACCAGGTTGTCTTCGCATAAATTTCACAGCTGCATTAGACTTGGCGGCCTCCCCTCTAAAGTTCGAGCTGGTGTGGAGGCTTCCAGTGGTTATCATACCGAGATCTCACTTTGAGGAGACATTAGGGAGCAGACGTCCATTGAGAGTGTGAATCATTTGCGTCATGTGGGGCAGAATATACATAACGTGACAGTTCGGCTGGTTTAGTAAAACCGTTTATCACTGCTCATTCCTCGATGGATATAAGGTCCTTTTGAGGCTCAGTCGAATCCTCTTCGCTTCTAACGGACCTCCAAATCTTTGCATCGTCTGCATACATCAATGCCAGCGAACTAAATGTGTCTAACAGGCAGTTAAGGATTATCAGGAAGAGAAGTAGAACTATGATGGTCCGCTGTGAAACTCCGGATGTTGAGACTCGCTAAGTCACGTGCACTCTATTAACCTTGGTACGAAACTTCCTATTCTCAAGATAGTTGTTTCTCAGCCAAGATACGAGTGGGTCAGTGAAGCCTGTTTTCGCAACCTTTGCGATTAGGCGTGCGTGTGGTACTGTGTCAAAGGCTTTTGCAAAGTCAAGCAATATTATGTGCACCAGTTTTTTTCGGTCCAAGCAGGATGTCCAACAGTCCCATGCTATGGGAAGATTATATGCGCACGATCTGCCTTTCTGAAACCCGTGTTCAGCTTCATGGAGTATTTTGTTTTTATCCACGTACTCGCTCACTTGTTCGTTCACTAGTACTTCCATTTGATAGTGTTGGCAGTGATGAGGATGGTCTGTTACAGACTGGACCTTCCTGTCTTGTCCATAGAATATTTTAGAGAGAATAGCTTGTTTCCATCCATTTGGGAGTTGGTGTGACTCCAGTGAATGCCTGAACAGGTCATATATCGGTGAACAGAGAGCTTCTGCACATTGTTTCGAGACTATGGATCGAATATTATCTCAACCTGATGACCTTTCTGGGCTAAAATATTTTAGTTTCCTTAATACTAGGCCAGGAATTATACGAGTAGTCCCTAGACTGTCAGCTGTCTCTAGTTTTGAGTAGTACTCTGTGTAATTGTATTTCTACGGTGGCCGTTCCAATGGGTTCCAATAGGTGCACTCCTGAACTCGTTTCTCCCAGTCCAAGGTCCCGATAAGGCAAAATTCTAGGAGAAAGTGGTCTTTATTAATAAAAACATGGAAATACAAAGCAGTACCTGGAATTAATACACCTTCCAGGTTACAATTACTCCGAAGAGTATCCGAAACAACGATAGATAAGTGACGTTAAGTCCAACGGCTACTGTATCAATCCAAATATGGCTGTAGCCATATTAAAGATCAAATTTAAACAACATATATACAGATCAGAAGCAAACACAAAAACTTCAATATAAGTACAAAATATAGAAATAATAACAATATACAATGATAAAATCTCAAATTGGAATCAAATAAAATACCAAAAATGTCAACAGAAAAGTCCGTCATGTCATAACAAAAATATGTAAACATGGAGGGATTTTCCAAAAAACAAAACATTCAAAAAGGATTCTACACTCTGGACATGTAGATACTTGATTTAATTGATCAGTTAAGTTTGTGTTTAAGATCTCAGCCATTACTAGATTGGTGAGATCTCCGATATTTGAACCGTTGAGGGAACACAACTCCTGATTCGCAGGTTTTCTTTTAGTCAGGATCCTAAACAAATACTTCCAGTTTGCCTGTATTTTGACAGCTAGCTTCATCTGAATATATCTCCTATCAATTCGAGATTTGATATTGCATCTGTTTCTCAATGACAAGTATGAACTACGATCGTAATCCTTCAACGAGACCTTCCACTTGTGCCAGGCTCTACTCTTCACCTGTAGCAAGCTTTCAATGCCACACCTAACCCATGTTCTTCTAATTTCAAGTGTGTGGTGTGTCCTAGGTACATTGTCTACAACAGCATTCTGGATGATGTCTCTCACTGTTTGCTAGCGGTCATCTGCTGTCAGCCTCCATCATTCCCGTATCTGCATGGGATGTAGAAGGTTCCTTCTCATGTGGGCGTAATTAGCCTTAGTGTAGCGAAGATAAGGCTCGTTTTCGTCCGGGCAAGCGTTTATGACCAGCTGAAACGAGACCATTCCATGGTCACTACTTCCTATTAGTGTATGGACGTGAACATTCTCGACCGAGAGCTGATCATTTGTTAATAAATAATCCAGTTTTCAGGACTTTCCCTCTTTAGTCCATCTAGTGTCGATGCATACATGCTCAGTAAGCCCTGAGCTTCTGATGACTGCGTCAAGTCGTCTTTAGAACCAACCAGTGGGAGCTGTACCCTGATTGCTCAGATTTAGAGATGGAGTATTGAAATTTGTAGCTAAGAGTATTTGATCAAACCTCAAGAGTGACAGTTGCAGTATTCCCTCAATCAGTTTGTCTTTCTGGGCCTTAGCGCCTGATAGAAGTCGTTGAATCCCTCCAACCAAGTGTTTCGTGCCATTTGTGTGGAAGCAACACCAACATGATTCTGTCATCTCAGTTAGTTAGGTGTCATATAGCCACTCGGCTTTTAAATGGCCGTTTATGTAAACAGTTACGCCGCCTCCTTTCTGGTGTATCCCATCGTTTCGGATGCGTGTCAGGTCTCGCAGGAGAGGGACAGAGACCCTTGGTGGTTTGTCTCATCACCTGGTGCAGATCTCCAGCAACAACCGTTGTCGGATTTTCAAACAGGTCGTTTAAACCGAGTTAGTTAGTTTTGAGGGAACTGGCCTCTGCAGGTTTCATACCTGCACAGTGCGTTCAATCGGAAAGGATATTAACTTCGTGTATTGTGCTAGGGGTTGTTGATCGAGTCCAACTATCAATTCTATGCGTTTATTATGGCCCCCGTGCAATTGTATCACAGATCTGGATCGGCTTTCGCAACATCTAATGTTGCTAGAGAGATTGTTCTTCGAGTTGCACCAAGATTGAAGCGCCTCAGTCAGGTCTTCCCGATTCCTGAATGTCACAGCCATCAGACGTGGCAACTCAATGGACGTGAGGTGTTACGGGCTAGGCAGCTTAGAAATGCAAATAGCCATCGTTTTGTGAAGGCTCAGACTACGTGATAGCCAACGTTACTGTGGAACATCGTTCACGTGAGCTACATTCAAGCTATAACCATCCTGTTCGGGCACGCCGTGAACTACCATGGTGGTCTGCTCTTGAGTGTCTGGTGATAGCATGGCTACCACTTGTACATACAAAGGTTTATCGTGCCTGATGTGAATCGGAAAGGACGATCTAACCGATGGTTTCTGGGATGAGAGGAGGATGTCTAGTATCACCCTCATTGGAGGTGTTTTTACTTTGGAGATATTCTATCCTTTGTAAAGGCGGAATATTTTTGCTGGAATATTGCAGCCTTTATTCCATGCCTGTTTATCAAATGCAGCCCTACCTTCTCACTAATTCTTACCCGACAGTGGTTGGATGCAACGCAAAGGACAAAACTCGTACCAACTATTATACCCTACATTACAGAGTTTGAGACATCGTTTACAATTTTATGTGATAAATATTAGCCAGCTTTAAAAAGCCAGTGTACCTTATAAAATATTTATCTGCCTGAACTTACATTAGCAGTTTCAACATTTTGATCTTGCCTGTATATTGGCATGAGTTTCGTAACACGTAGTTATTTGAGAATTTTCAAATTAGGACTGATTCTGAAAGAACTAACAACATTAATCAATTCCACAGAGTTGTAATTCAGGACGTCTTGGAATTTGATTATGTCGCATTTGGTGCTCTTTTTCTGAATATGTTGAACAGCTTCTGATAATCAACAATTTGGCTGATAGTGCCTCAGACAACATTGCCGAAATTTCCTTTATCGAGAGAGTCATCAGTATCGATTAAACAAATGGTTAAGTTGGTATCATATACTGGACACAGATATCTTTGAACCTTATAAACCACAAAAAACACTTAATTAAACTTGATTCCCCCTAAATTACAAAGAAAGGCCTTTGCAAGTAAACGCTAGGGGAACGTACGTCACACATACAAATAACACGAAAAACAGACAGCCAATTAGTCTCAGGTGTTAACCTGATAGCCTTCCTCCAGTTTCCGAAGTGTCCACGTTTTCCATCAGCCATGCAAGCTTAAAGCCACTGGAGATGACCTCAATCTGACAAAATTTCATGCCAGTACAATATCACAAGTTGGATGGGACAACAGAACTTTATAAGTGGATCCGGCAGGTAAGAACTTCAACCTGGCGAGACAATCATTGCTATCAACTTCGACCCATTAACAGTGCACGTCAGTTATGAATTTTCTAGGAATATTTTCGTCAGCCAACCACTCCTAGACTTTAAGGCCACAACAGAATACTAGTAAACATGGAAGTGCACCGGAACTCTTGTTTGATGCTAACTATGGGAGTCACTTCATCAAAAATAATACAGATATTGCGCTTTTCTATTTATACTGCGATTTGATGTATCACCTGGACTGCACAGCGTCAAATATCAATCACGTAATGCTAACAGGAAAAAAATAGCGCACTACTGCTTCAAGTTTCGCGAATCGCATGTCTTATCGAGCACTTTTAACCTAATTAACGGTAATGAGTCGTCCGAAAGCAAACATCTTTTGACTATAAAGATTAAAGCCTTAACCGGCCAAACTAGACTCAATGATAATTCAGTTTTACAAACGGGCTGTAAATCAAACTCTGCTGATACAACTACATTCTTCATAAATAAGGTCAGTATCACAGGCGAGCATGATACAATGATCGAACAGTTCAACAACTGTTACAATCGTCTCCTATCGTGATGTTTGGAATGCAGATGTCTGAGCAACTGTCTACAATCAAATTTACATTCGCCAACATCAGGAGGGTCGTAACAGCCCGAAAAGTCTTGTGACGATGGACCTGGTAGTATTCCTGAATCCTTCATGAAGTATAAAATTTCCGTTATTCTACTTAAAACAGTTCAACCTATGTATGAACTATGGGGCCTATCTATTTGTATGAAAAACAACTCTTATTACCCTCAGATTCTAAACAGAAACTTGCAATGATACTGCTAACTATAGGACAAGTAGCATAACCTTCTCACTATGAATAATGATGGAAAATCATCCAAAAACAGCTTAGTAATTTTAAGTTTCGGAAAACATGGTCAACTTTTCACAGGACAGGTTTATGGGCTAGCGTTTCTGCTCCTCATCGCACTCAGCATCTGTTCAGCTGACTGTCAAAAGGAGAGGAAACCCTGAACCATTTTAATTCAAAATCCACTTTGGTTTATTTTTTACCTTGATGATAATGACTGATCGCCTCACGCACCCAAGACACTACTGCTATTTCCTCCGAATTTCTTGATCACAAGAAAAATTTGTGCCTTACGTGAAGTATAATTTACACGCATTTTGGTTTTCTTTTCTTTACTTTTAAGTCAACCCGATATTCTTTTACATATTACAGAACCTGTTTAATTGAGGTGAGTGCAAATATCATTGAAACCTTGGTGTACAACTATATTTATGATGAAACCTGAAATGGTTTCTTCACAACACAGGTGTGAATGAGGTGCTCATGAATAATAATGATAGTAATATTTGGTAAAGAATGGCGGTCAAACTGGAAACATCATCCATGTAGGCATGGTAGTTTTATGTATCTTTTTCGTCCTCATATTTGTCATATTATTTTGTCTGTGACTTACAAAACGATACCCCTGATCAGCAAGACAGAGCGAGTTTGGATATTGATATTAAACAAAGTTTGTGTAAGGAATATTATACTAACAGATAACGGCTGGAATAAAAATCAGCCACATTTGATAGAATGTTTATCAAAATAGGAACAATCTAAAAGACTACACATAGTGTATTCCAAGCCAGTCTCTATTCAATGGTAGAATCGTGAACATCCAGTTTTAGATTGCCTCTCAAAACTGTTGGATTAGACTACCCATGAATCCACAAAGTTAGGCGGTTGACAAACTTCAGATTCGGGAACCACTTGCTAAGCACCACGAAACTTCAAAGGTGGAGAACAGAGTTGTAGAAGAATACGTCAAATTCCAGCAACGCTACCAGGGGACATGTATATAAAATATTATGGCATCCGTCGCATCTCTTATCTGATGTTGGCTTGATATAAATTAAAATCATCTATTGAACAATAATAAGGATAACTTTCGCCTACACTTTTGTTAGATATTCTCACCAACTCCTAATTCTAACCGCCAGCAACAACCTCAAGACAATTAAACAATACAAATAACGTCAATGCCTTGGCTATCTAGACAGATGGCCTTCTAGTCTGGTTAAGTGTGAGTAATGACCTCAAAAGTCTTATGGGACGTCGTGAAGTTCAATTAAATGGTTTAAGGTGACTGGAAAACGTCCATTTCAGTGATAATTGACCATAGTCAATAGTATATGGAACAAAGCATCACCAATACCAGTCACACAGGAAAAACTTGTGTCAACCACTTGCGACAGAGCGAACTAATGTATTTTTAAACACAATCTGCTGCAATTCCTTTCAGAAAGTTCAGAAAGTTTTAAGTTCTTATCTTTATAATTTTCTATATTCTCAACAGCCGTCTCCTGTTTCTTACATGCTACTTATTTCTCGTCAAACGTTTCTGTTAGTTTTTAGTGGTGACCGATTCGAGATTGACTATGATCACCACTAAATACTAATTACTATCCCGTCACCAATTTTAGAAATAAATCCAGGGTTAAGAATATATTTAAAGGAAAAAATAGGCGTTACAGCGAGCAGCGAGTTATGAAGGATGGCAACAACGCGAAAAAGAACGTTGCGTGCAAGTAAGGTTTTAGTATATTTAAACAAAACGAGCACAATTACAAATGTTTCTTTTCATTAATTGCGTTTCCTCCGTTGAAGTGTTCCACTATAAGTTCTTAGATGTAACATACTATTTCATTGAATTGTTTGAAAAATTACTTCCATTATCACAAGCCTTTTCCTTCCAGTTACAGGATATGGCTTTATAATCTTTGTGACGTCATCTTACTATTAGGTATTAATACATCACTATGAATGATAATTCTTTGTTGCAAATCATACATTTATTGGTGCACAGCTTTGACGAAAAACTGATTGTAAGGGAATCTCTCCGCTCTAGTGTCTCTTCTTATGAACCAGATTCGTGGTTTAGTTACTTCCCGAGACATATCTCCATCCTTGTTATTCAAACTTTTTCCCATTCTAATTCCACACCGAAATAAACCTATATCTGGTCAGGTAATGTGATGTGCCCAGAGTCAAAAAACCATACTTTGTTGTTTTTCCTCAAAAGATAGCATCTAACACATTGAAAATTATTTGACGTGGAGTTTTCTTTCAGTCTGTACTTTTTGAGCTATTGTATTTGTTTCATCTAGTCAGTCGGCTTATGGATCTCGGGCTTACGCGGTATCTTTGAACAGTCCTCAAATATGTAGGTTTATTCTTTGGCTCTTCTATGATTATGAAATTATGAATACAAATTAAATGACCCATCAATTATCTAGGTCAGCTGATACAGGAGCCACTGACGTTGCCAATGGGGGGGCTCCCCAACCGCGGCCTCAGAACAAGCGGTTGCAACAAACCCAAGCTCAGGTAGATGAAGTAGTAGATATCATGCGAGTAAATATGGAGAAAGTACTGGAGCGTGATGCTAAGCTTAGCCAGTTGGATGATCGTGCAGGTAAGATCAGAATTACAGGTTTGGTTTATTGTTATTTCTGCCTTGTTATCAAGAAGTGAAGTATAATACAGGCGTTCGCAACATAATTGTTTCACTGTCTTAGCAGCTCTATAGGTATTGGGTCTGCTAAACATATGTAGGTTTGAAAAAGCGGATACAGGACTCGTTAGTTTTTGTTTTCGGATCATTCATTCACAGTAGCTTCACCCATCAGCATGAAGCCACCGAGAAATTAAGTTTGTGTAAATGTATGGTTTTTTAGTTTCTGGCAGATATATGGCTAAGTATTTATTTGTGTAGGGTGACACAGTCTTGTCTTATTATCACGTTTAACTTTCTCTTTAAAACAATCTGAATCAATTCTACTATTTTTTGACGCAAAGGTTCTGTAGATTGTCGTGCAGTATGTAAACGTAGGTAATAAGTCCTAGTTACTTAATCCTGATAGACAGGAAAATGGTCACACGCCTTGGTAGTAATTGTCCGTTCAAGTTATCAATGGCTACGGCTCATAAATTTCGCGATGGCAACTTACATGGACCCAAAATATGTCACAATGAAGCGAAATAATTGGCGGGTAGTGAAGTACTTACCAGTTGGCGTGCACGAGGTTAAGTAAGTCTTGGTTATCATAATTAGTTGTAGGGTATTCAATTTAATGTCTCAGCCTTGGTTCACATCATTTTAGGGACCTCGGGCTCTAAGATTGCCTTTACGTATAACCCTCAGATCATCACTGGAAATTTTTCACTCAACTTATTAAAGTCGCGTGTCTGATACCTATACAATGAACGTGTAATGTAGCTTGTATACGAAGTTCTGTTATCTGTGTTCAGAAATGATTCGAAAATGCAGCTGGTTGTTTTGTAACAATACGCGGAGAGTACTGTTGTCCACCAGAATCTTTTCGAATACTTGTAGTCTCATAGATAACATTCAGCGTGGAAACAAAGTCACTTCGGCCTTTATATCAGGCTTTTAAAAGGCAATTTTTTAAGAAAGTATCGGTTTATTATATGACTGGGAGATACCACAAGTTTGTACTCCAGTAATGTCTTTTCTTCATCGTTCTGACGTTTATTTTTATAGTACTCATTTTGCATATTCACTTCATCACTGACACCGTCTTGGTCAATCTGACTTTAAGAGATCAGGTATGCAACGCGTCCATTGAAGGAATCAATCAATAGCAACATAGAACTTCGTACGTACATCAGTTCATGTTGCCATACCGCGTTAGCACCGAGATGTAATTGTCAATTCAAATCCAGTAGTGGTAGGGGTAGTAGAGGTATTAGCAGTAGTCGGAGAGATTAGGATTAGAAGATCTTATTCAAGAAGTAGAATCTAGTGAAATGAACTTAAAAAATAAAGATAAAGTGATGAAGAGTTGAAAAGTTTAGGATTTGAGAGAACACAGAAAATAATTGCAAACGGTTTTGAGCCATGTCATTCGAGGTCTCTAACAATCGGCTACTATCGTCTCGCGGACCCCAACCAGGTAGTCGACATCTACCGACTTGACTCGGTTCACTTGTCAGTGGCTTCATGGATTTCTGCCATGTATTGGTCTGGCCACCCCTAGCTTTCGTCCAACCTATTTCTACACCGCGAACGGATATCTCGCCTACGCCATAAGTGACGCAAGTTGGCGAAAGCTAATCGAGCTTTCTGTATCCGAGCTGAGATTTCGTCAGTCACCAGGCCATCAGCACAGACGAGACTCCCAAGATAAGTAAAGCGGTCAACACGCTCAACTGCTTCACTCCCTGTCACTAGTTCGGGTGCTGATGAAACCCAATCTTGAAGCAACATTTTGCATTTCAAGTGTGGGGAATTGCATCCCGAACATGCTTGCATTGTTGCTTAGGGTAGTCAGAAGATTGCATTTTGTCAACCTCTTCACCGAATAGAACTGTCATCGACATATTCTAAGTCAGCAAGCGATTTTCCTGGTAGAAGGTCCACTCTTGAATGTTCAGACGAGAATAAGGTTACATCTAGGAGCATGTCTATGATAAAAATCCCTGACGGACACCACTTGAAGTGAAGAATTCCGATGACAGTTCGCCATAATCTCTCACTCGACCAGTGGTGTTGGAGTAGAGAGCTTGTATAAGGTTAATGTACTTCTTTGGTACACTTTTCAATGATAGTCGCTGCCACAGAACCTCACGAACGACAGAGTCGAATGTCGCCTTAAGGTCCAGGACATCAACTATTGTCGGACGCCTAAACGTATGTCTGTGTCCCAGGACCTGTTTGAGATAAGAAAGATGTTAGAGGGTGCAGGAAGGATTTGATTGTGATTAATTCGGTTTCGTCTGTGGTTACGGATATGAGGGTGGACGTCACTTCCAACTGCTCATACTGTGGAAAGGTGTTTCTTGAGGAGCCTGAAAACTGAGTTGGATTAGCGTTGGTCTTAAAGACCTGAGAGCATGGTCACAGAACCCAAGGGACAACTGCTAGAGGTCGGTCACGCAAGGACTTTTTATGATAAGTGTTTTGAGTGTTAGCTCGGCTTTTTTTTAAAGGCCTTACCGCTGCAGACGGAAATCCCTGAGGTAAGGTGAGGTGTGACATTTTTATGGTCGACCTTTTCTAACCCTTCCTTGTGAGGAGGCAGCATCGCTGCTGATGCTGGTTGTCCAAGGGAAACATCTTGATGCTCTCACCCCTCTGCAGTCAGCAGTACGACTTTGCCCTCAGACCTTGAGTATCTGCTTTCAGTCTCACCGTTCTCCAATCGACCTGCCTGACATGATAGAACAGACAGGAACGTATGTTTCAGCCAATAAAAGCCTGCTGGGTCATCACGATAGGCAAGCCCGAACACCACATCAAGGTAGCAGCTTCGGTTGAGGGCGATTCTGTTTGTGCCCGTGAAACGCCCTCTATTAGATATCGCCAACGTAGATTCTGGCACATGTACCTTAGCACGATTAGATGAATCGCAGAGATCTAAATAATGTGATAGCAACATTGAGAAAATGGTTTAGAGATAAAGTGTAAAAGTATGCATACAAGAGTACCAAAGCTCAAGATTGAGGAGATGAATAACATTTGCATCTGGACCATTCTGACGGATTCATAGAAATGCCACTCAAGGTCTTCCATTAGTTGCTGTTACTACCCGGGTCCTAACCAAGTAGTCTACTTTTGATTAAACGACCTAGGCCATTAGTCACTTACTTCAAAGACTGATATATTATTTGATCGTCGCTAGCTTTCAAATTTCTTTGCATAGTACCCTGTGCCTAACCTCGAGTTTGCTTACTTGGTAGTTTCACAAGACATGCTTTGATAAAAAATGTGATCGAAATCCGACAGCCTTCCCCTGCTTACTATTTCTATAAACTATTGGACTACAGTAGAATTATTAAGAATAGACTACTATGCAGTATACTCGTCCTTTTACTGGTAGGCAAGCATCCTGCTCCGCAAATAACTTCATTTGAGTTCCTGTCAGAAATCACCAGGTGTGACGAAAGTTTCAAAATAAGTGAATCAGTTTACACGTTCATCCATTTGAATGTCTATTATTAGCTCTAACAAAGACCATTCTTGGAGGCAACTATCCCTAATATGCTCAGTGTTCGAAAGATTTTTCCAGAGATGATGTCCGACAGTTATGCTAAATCATCATGGTCTGAAAAATCACTTAAATTTGATAGCGACATCATATTTGCCATCATTGGATCAATGTCTTTTTGGTAATGATTAGTAGTAAAATTTAGCTAGATGGAAATAGCATCCATATATATACTTCCTCGTATCAATATTGAAATGTAATATATCTCAATATCTGTAAATCTATGTGTCGACAGATGGGTCAGTTCAGATTAAAAATGCTTATTTACGAAAAATAAAAGACAACTTACCCAATGTTACTGTATTAATCAATGCAGCTCATTGTAATTTTTGTCCTCACAGATGCTTTGCAGGCAGGCGCTTCACAGTTCGAGGCCAGTGCTGGTAAATTGAAAAACAAATATTGGTGGAAAAATATGAAGGTGTGTATGTCTAGCAATTTAAAAACTGTAGTGGTTTTAATTTCTTGTATGTTTTTGTTGGTATTAGTAATTTTAAATACTGAAATCACACGTTTATATTAATTATCCCGTCCTACTTTTACTTAAGGTGATAATATAGTAACATAACAACTTGGTCGTCGACGATAAATTAAAAGACTCCTAAAACTGCACAGTAAGAGTTATGTTTTTACTGTACCTTTCTGTTGCATTGCTGTTTAGAAACAAATCGTTCGTGGAAAATCGATGACACTTCTGGTGTCAGCATATTCAATTATGTAGGTCTTCAACGCATCATACCTGAAATGGAATAACCTGTTTTCAAGTTGAGAATCCTCATGACGCAACTCCCGAAATAGAATTTTTTAGCTTGACAGTTCACTGGTCCAAATCTACTAATCCGTTAATCACATAATATTCTAAAACCGATATCATAACCTTTGCTTTTAACTTTCGTAATTTTGTGATATTTTTGTTATTGTGCTTACATTTTCAGTAAGCGCAGCATTCTTAGTTTATCATCATGCCATTGATGGTCTCGACTTCTGCGGTTAATCATGTTTAAAGCGATATACATTGCACCTCGTAATGTTGTGTATCTCCGTATATTTTATATTGGTATCGGTACCTAAAACGATTAGTCTGCAAGTTGCAGTAGTATTCAAAACAAATTTATCCATATCATTTTCCTAATAGTTTTTGAGGTCCAACTGATGGGGTTTTGCTGCTTCTAAACCTTAATACTTTCTCAAACAGTTTTGTCAAAAATAGGATCCGTTGTTCATATTCTGCACAGTAGTTGTAAGTCTGGATAATTTTTATTATCAATACGTCATTAATCAATCACAGCGCAGAGCTTGGTAGGTACGTACATCAGTTTAAGCAACCATACAATACCATAGCATAGAGAGAGGAAAGCGGCAAGTCAAATTTCAGAAGTAATAACACTATCAGTTGTAATAAAATAGCTTAGGGATCGAAGGTAGGATTCAAGGAAATCAGTGAGGTAGAAAAAAACAAATTATGATGAGTTGAGAAGCTTAGGATATAGGGAAAGAAAAGAATGAATGCACTTACGGCTTTTGCAAGCGATTTTGATTGGTGTCATTCTAGGTGATAAGCTAACATAATCACGCGAACCCCAACCAGTAACTACACTTATTATCAGTGCAGTTGTTAGCGACTTCATGAACTGGCGCTATGTTTTGGTCTATCAGCTTTTAGCCTTCCTTAAGCCTACTCCTACATCGAACCACATCTCCCGTCGAGGTTGGCAGTGGTTACGCATACGTAACACATGTCCCAATCACCTCAGTGAAGACTACCTACCACATCGATCGAATTGCTTTCTGTAACTGGTACCCTATTCGCGACTCAGTCCTGAAATACACCGGCAATGCTTCGAAGATGCGTACTTCTACTAGAGCATGGTAAGTCTAAGCATGTGTTCCAGAGTTGGTGTTAGTCCCTTATCAAGATTCCCTAACGATGGTTGGTAGTAATCAGATATTTTGAGTCTATCGTTCAGTTGATTGTAAGGGTCACCACGTAAAACCATGTTTTTCCTTATGCTTATTAGAAGTAGACGGTTATCTGAGCCTAGTTGCAGCAGAGGGTTGCTGTTATTTGTGGTTTAGTCTACCCACTTAGATCAGACCGTAGCTGTTACCTTGATGTGGTGGTCGGGCTTGCCTATCCTGATGACACAACCGAGCTATATTGGCTGGAACATATGTTCCTGAGGGTTTTACCATGTCAGGTAAGTCGATTGGAGAACGATGAGACTAAGATCAGCTACTCAAGGTCTGAGGGCGAAGTCGTACTGCTGACTGCAAACGGGTGTGACAGCAGTAAGCTGTTTCCCTCGGACAACCAGCATCTGCAGCGATGCTGCCTTCTCACAAGCAAGAAAGGGTTAGAAAAGGTCGACCCTAAAAAGGTCACACCTTACCTCCGTCTTCGGCGGTAAGTGTGCCCACTAAGGGCTGTTAAGAGCAAAGCTAGTATTCAAAAAACCTCTCATAAAAAGGCCGTGCGTGACCGGTCGGAAACAGTTGTCCCTTGGGCTCTGCGGTCACGCTCCCAGGTCTCTAAGACCAACACTAGTCTACCTTCTTTTTCAGGTCCCTCAAGAAACAACCTTCAACGGTGTGGGCAGCCGGGAAGTGACAACCACCCTCATACCCGCAACAGCACACGAGCCCGAATTGGTCAAAATCAAATCCTTCCTACACCCCCTAATACCTCCCTTATCTCCACGACTAACTCTACTCACATTCCTTTATCTCACTGCACCCCTAATGCAAACGATGCGAGTTCACGAAAAGTTATTCCTGGTCTCCTGAAACCCCGTTTTAAACTATATGTTGGAGCTTTTGTAGTGAACGAGAACACAGGTGGGGCAACCGGTTTGTATTTAACGAAAATTACAGAGTTACTCATTAAAATCGGAAAACCATATCGTAAATCGTTAATTTGCAAAATATCAGTCCACCATATCGAACTGGATTGTTCTTGTTGCAAAACATCATGCGTTCATGCGTTTCATACAAATTCCACTGTGTTCTAACTCTTCCTTTCTTGATCTTCCCCCATCTTCTGCTGCCAGACATTACGTTGACACTCACGTCATATACTACTTATAAGTAGCTCGCACCACACTTTTAATGTACGGACATTGTGTCAAATAGGGAAACAGGCTTCCTTAATTAGGACATTAGAATCTCGCGCCATCGATGTATGCTGGTTCTCGGAAACGCGCATATAGGATCCTAGCAAAGTCATTAATTTGATTTCACTGTGTCAAAATAAAGAAGCAGCTTGATTTACTCTTCGTGTATATGGAAGCCTTGATGTTGCCCCCGGGGTCTTGCTGGTGTAGGTATAGCATTGGGTCGTAGGGCAGAACTAGCTCTCCTAGACCGGATCCCAGTAGATGGTCGCTTGTGCGCTGTCCGACTGAACGGTACAGTAAGGACTCGGAAAGATAGGGACACTCGCCGTTGCCTCTTCGTCATATCTGGCTACGCTTCCACTGACTGCACTTCAGACGAGGTTAAAAATGAGTTTTACAGAAAGCTTTCAGACCTTTTGCAAAAAGTTGGGCGCTCTGATATTGTTATGATGGCTGGTGCCTTAAATGCTCAAGTAGGTAGACTAAGTGAAAAGGAAAGACATCTGGGTGGACTTTATGGTTTCGCGGCTGGTGGAACAGATAATGGAGACCATCTGCTGCAACTATGCTCAGATAACCGCCTATTTCTAGCAAATACTAACTTTAAGCTCAATAACAAACATCTCTTTACATGGCGACCGCCAAATTCGTTCCAACGCTTGACTCAACTAGATCACATCGCTATAAGCCATTGGTGGAGAAGTTCTGTTGAAGACTGCCGCTCATTCCGGGGCACATGTTTAAATTCCGATCATGCTCTAGCGTTGGAGCGTTCCAATTTGCGACTTACTGAACGTAGGAAAGATACCACAAGCAAACCTCTTAGGGTTCTACCTAATGATAGCTTAGCTATGAATATATTTCAGAAGCAACTAGAAAATCATTTAGGCCACCATATAGTAAGTGATTTCCAACCCGAGGCAGGTTGGAATTCTATCAAAAAAAGTTGTAGAAACGGCAGTGATATCTGCTAACAAGGTAAACCATATGTCTAGGAACCAGCCGTGGATTTCAGTAGCATCTACTCAACTGATGGATGCTCGAAAACTCATTCCGCCTGCCCCTGGATATTGCGAAGGGCGACGTCGGCATCGGCGCAGGCTGATAAAAAGCCTTCGCAATTATCGCCAATAGTGGTTGGTAGCGAAAGCATAGGCGATGGAAAACGTAGCGGCAATACGTACCAGTAGACAACTGTTCCGCCTCACCAAGGAATTTTGTAGTAGGAACCCATCTGTTAGCGGAACTATCTCAGAAGAGGATGCTAGTATCATTCATTCTCAACCCAAGAGATTGGATCGATGAGCAGAACACTTTAGGGATCAACCCGACTGGCCTTCAATCACACTGCGGTTACCCACGACCTCCAGTCATCCTGAATGTCAGATCAATATAAGTTCTAGCAGCTAGGTTGACTGAGACCTTGCGTAGAATCTGGGAACTAGGCATTATACGTTATTACTGGTCTCAATCGCTGATTGTCCCAATTTACAAGAAAGGACAAAAGTCCTCTTGTGATAAATACAGATGAATCAATGTGACTAACACAGTATCTAAAATATTGGCCTCAATGACACTTGGACACCTAACCATAGCTCGTGGACAACTGACTCGAGAAAAGCAGGCCAGTTTCGGACCTGATCGTGCCTGTATATGCTAGATATTCACACTACGTCAGGTCTTGGAACATAGACACACATTTTGAAGTCCCATTGTATTTGTATTCCTTGACTTGAATGCGGCATTCGCTTCTGTTGATCCTGATGTTCTGTGGCACTGTCTGTCATTAAAAGATGTGCTAGAAAAGTACATTAATCTTATACAAGCTCTCTACTCAAACACTACTGGTCAAGTCAGAGCTTTCGGCTTACTGTCATCGAAATTCATTACTCCAAGGTATATCAGCTTCATCAGTTGTGGTGGCTGGGACATGTGTTACGTATGCCCAAACGTTGACTGTCTCGACGAGCAATGTTTTGTGGTGTAGAAGTAGGTCTGAAGAAAGCTAGGAGCGTCCAGACCAAATCATGGCAGAAATTCAAGAAGCCACTGACAACTGGACTGCGTCATTTTGGTAGGTGTAGACTAGTTGGTTGGGGTCTGCGAGACGATAGTAACCGATGGGTTAGAGACGTCGAATGACATGTCTTAAAATCGTTTGCAATGGCGCAGGTGCACCCACTTCCAAATCGTAATCTTCTGACTTCCTCATCACCTTTGTCTTTCGCTTATTAAATTTATTTCACTGGAATATACTTCTTGAATAATTTCTTCGATCCCTAATCTTTCTCATTATCGCTAATACTTCTACTAGCTCTACTATTATGGGAATTGACAATTGTGTCTCTATGTTAATGTTGTTTGGCAACCTGATCTGATATATGTACTTTCAAAGTTCTACGTTGTAACTCAATGGCTGACCCACATAAGCGATAAAATCACCCACCACCATTACAAAATGTGAGCGCTTATAATTTTTGAGGTTGGAAACCTTATAAAATTTATCTTTTACTTTGTCTGAGCTACAGTGACGGAAGCCGTAGGCTGAGACAGTGGATGCGAAACACCCTGCGTCTTTTTTTCTAACTTCTTACTGTGGGACAACGCATCTGCGAGGGTCTCCTAGTATCCAGTCAAAGAGAGCCGGTCTAATTTCTAACCTAATGTTACACCTGTCATATCACACAATGTGCAGTAGTGTCTCCAGACACACTAAAGTTTACTCGCGTCTTGGGAATGCAGTATACATCGATGGTGCGAGATTTGAAAATCCTAGATGGAAAAGCCTGTTTTCTTATCCGGCACAATGTTCGAATACTTAAAGCATGATTTCAGGAGACTAGGAACTTCATTTTGTGACCTCAACTCATTGGCACTAGCAACGCGAGATGTTAAAGATATACGTGAAGGGTGAGTCGCGGAGATTAAGATGTAAGAGGATATCCGATTGTGAACAAGATGATCTTGGGTGCTATTACAGGTGTTACCGGTGGTTATCAGTTACTGACTGCCTACACCGTGGAAGGATATTTTCTCTTGAGGGACCTTAAAAGGAAGCCATGTTGGTCTTAATGACCTGTCAACGTGACCATATAGCCCAAACAGCAGCTGCTTGAGGCCAGTCACGCCCGGGCTTTTCATGTGTTAGCTTCTCACTTACCACTGGCGACAGGAATTCGTGGGGTAAGGTGAGGTGCGTTATTTTTTGGGGCGGCCTTTTCTAACCTCAGTTGTGAGTAGTCAGCGTCTCTGCAGATGCCGTTTGTCTCACCGCTGTCACATCTCCATAGTGAACGGTACGACTTCGCCCGCGAATCCTTAGTTGCTGCTCTTAGTTTTACTGTTCTCCAACCGACTTGGCTAATACGGCAGGGATATGTGTTCCAGCCAATATGACTCGGTCGGGTCATCACGATAGGCAAGCCTAACCATTATGTCGATGTAGCAGCTACAGTCGTGATAGTTTTTTGTTAGGCTTAATAATTTAACAGTTTTAGTAATAATATTTGTAAAGCTAGAATGAACTAGACTTTGTTCTTTAGATAGTAATGTGCTGTCATGGTCCACCCGGTAATTGGTAATTCATGCAACTGAGTTAAGTCTAGTTCACGTTGTTCTTGAACTATGGTTACTATGTGTAATAACCTGTACTGTATGGCATTTTTGAGTTCGTTTACTTTCAAATGTTCTGCGTCGTTCGTCATTACAGTCCAATTAGAACAGTCATCAAGCCTTTTATTTTTGAAATTCATGTATTTATTAAATAATATTTTATTTCTAGATGAATATCATCATCGGGGGTGTTGCGCTGGTACTCATCATAGCATTGGGGTGTAAGTATTTGTTAGTAATCTTTAAACTTTGTTGTTGTATGTTTCATCGATAGTTGGTGTTTTGTTTTATGTGTGGTTTATATACTGGTATGTGATCTATTGACTTGACATATTAAAATAAGAGCTTACTTGAACACTGAGTCCACCTTCAAAAAAATTGTATCGAACTAGCGAATTTGCTCGGGTTTGCTCATAAAGATTTATTCCATTTATGTAAATGCTACATTTCATAGACTGAAACGTTCAACCAGCGTTTGTTCATACTCAGAAGGCTTGTTAAACTATTTAAGAGTATTTTATATAAATCCCGGGTTTCTATGTGTTTATTTGTAAACCTTATATTATTTCTTGCTGTACAATTTTTAATTTTAAAGTTTTTAACGTATATAATTTGTTATTTCTTGTATTTGTTGTCGATTAGAATGTTGTGGTACTTAATGTCGTTGATGTTGTGTCCTGATTTTAACATGTGAGTGTCTTTTGGTGAGTTTCATTAAGCTCCACTTTTCTTTTAAAGATACATAAATAAGGTGTATTACTGTGTCATTTTTATCGTATGTTTTTTCACGTTGGTGTACGTTCCTCATGTGTGTATTCTGTTCAGTCGAATTTATCGACAGCTTAACTGGCTAGACATACAAAACATAGAACTTGGCACATGTTTACATCGGTTCAACTTGCCACGCACTAAGGTGAAATAGTCAGGGCAAATCCCTCAGTAGTATAGAAAGTAACAGTACTGGTGGTAACAGAAAATATTAAGGATCGAAGTTACAGTTTGAAAAGAAAATAACGATATAAAAAACAAGGAGTTAATACACCTTGTCATTGCAGACAATTCTAAGTCATGTCACCCAAAGTCTCTTTCCATTGCGGCTACCGTAATCACACAGACTCCAACCAGTTAGTCTACCCCTAACTATATGGCTTAATCTAGCAGTCTGTCTTCATCTTTTGTTGCGGCCACTTCTAACTTTCTCCAAACCCACTGTACTATCCATCATCGCGCATCGAGGTCGTCGGTAAGTAAGTATACAGAATACATGTCTTGACCATCTAGTACTCTGCATCTAACCTCAAAGATAATATAACCATCTTTTTAGAAGAAACTTAAGTTTTTCTCATTTTATATTGCATAAAATAAACTGGTTCCACAGAATAACCCTTGTTAGCTATACAGAAACTATTCACCTTCAGTATTAGTTAGTAGATCAACAACATTTGCACTTAGCTTCGTTTCGAGCTAACTTTCACGGATGTTTTTATATCGGTCACAAGAGTTAGTCATCTAAGTTCTTTTGAATAGTTAGACTACTTTAGTGAGTACAAACGGTTCTCAGTGGTATCGTATGGTGAAAAGTATTGTAGTCCGCAATGTGACTACTCAAAATCCTACCTATTGACCAACCTCAGATATTCCAGTACGACCGCAAATTCTGTTTCCCGAATCCCCAATAAATCAAAACACAAAACCGTTAGATGAAAAGTGCTTGTGGGATCAGAATACAGCCTAGAACTTTACAGACAGTACATATTTATACAGTTAGGCCGACTGTAAATATTGGCCAATAGAAAACAAGATGTGAAATATGTGAAAAGTGTGAGAAAATAAGACTTTACGTTTGATGATAAGATTAGACTTAACAGAATAATTTTTGGGATATTTTTATGAATACTGTATCAAATAGGAATTTGGGTTTCGGCAACATTTGGATCGGCATATAATCTAAACGCCCTACTTCGTCGATCTGTTACTTTAAATGTCATGATATTTAGACGGAACTAAGCTTGCGGCACATCTGTTTCTTTTTTGTACAAATTCATTTCTCTTTTTTAGTATTTGTGTATGCCGTTTTTTCATTAATAGAATTCCTATTCAGACATCAACATGTAATCTCCGGTTAAAAGTGATTGAGTTTCTTAAATGTTTGGTACATGGGGTATTGTCTGGATATTTGTGATACTTAGTATTTGGTGTAAACTAATATATTCACCCGCTTTCACACCAAGGTTGATTTTTAAAACCAGCATTATGAATAAGATTAGTCGGATTAAACTTTCTGTATCTCATTCATCCCTAATTACGTATCCTACTCTGTTGACGGTAAATTCATTCAGTTTGGTCGATGTCGCCAAAAATTATTGATATGACAACCGTTTCACAATGCTAGCTTATAATAGTTGGACTAGAAAGTCAAATTAAAGTTTCCTGTTTTTTATAAGTTGGTAACACTATGGCTAGCTGTGAACCATTTGATCATCACAATTTTCTGAATCGAAGTTAGCCTTCATGTAATCAACAGTTACTGAAAGTCAGTCATAAAAAAATCGATGTTATTTCGGAAATTCCTAAATTTCATTCCATTAGTTTAAATATATTATTTTCAAATTATTTTCTAAACATTTAACTAAAAATTTCTGATAATCTATCACCACTTTTCCACTCTTCATGAGTAATTTTTGTCAATTTATTTTATACAGGGTATATATTTGGTGGGAAGTAAGTTGTATTAGATTATCTGTTTGACTAGATTTTTTAGTACTTATTAATTCACAATTATAATATTGTGTATGTTTATCATTCTGTTACCTTTTTATCTGTAAGTTCTTATGTTCATCCAGAGTGATATCACTTATGTTTCTCTATTTTATATGACAATTAAATTAGCTCACTCATCAGGTAACCAGATGTGAACCCAGCTGCCCTGACAGAATTAGATAGGGCTGGGTTCGAACCTGAGAATTAGTGGTCGAAAATCAAAGGTCTTAATCAATGAGTCGACGCGTTCTTGAGTACTAAACGATTCCCATACTACGTAATTTCACTTTTATAGTCCATGGACCACCGAGTAAGAAATGCTGTTGTTAGGAATCGAGGGAGGATGGCAAAATCAATAGATGAAGTAGCGAAACTTGATCAGTTGAGATGCCTGGGACATGTATTACGTATGCCCAAACGTTGACTGTCTCAACGAGCAATGTTCTGTGGTGTAGGAGTAGGTCCGAATAAAGCTAGGAGCGTCCAGACCAAATCATGGCAGAAATTCAAGAAGCCACTGACAACTGGACTGCGTCATTTTGGTAGGTGTAGACTAGTTGGTTGGGGTCTGCGAGACGATAGTAACCGATGGGTTAGAGACGTCGAATGACATGTCTTAAAATCGTTTGCAATGGCGCAGGTGCACCCACTTCCAAATCGTAATCTTCTGACTTCCTCATCACCTTTGTCTTTCGCTTATTAAATTTATTTCACTGGAATATACTTGATTAATTTCTTTCTCTAAATCGTGAGCTTCTATACTCATCACAATTGTTTCGTCTTTTTACCTCCTTGATTTCCTTGAATCCTGTCTTCGATCCCTAGTCTTTTACATTACTGCTCGAACTTTTACCACCTATAAGATTTGGCTTGACATTTTCCTCTCTCCGTGGTATTGAGGTTTTTGTAACTTAGACTGATGCACGTACGTACCAAGCTCTGCGCTGTGGCTGACTGACGGTGTGTAATTATGAACATTGTGAATTGATTTGAAGGTTCAAAGGAAAGAGAGTTTTGGTGGGAAGACTGTCTCTCTTGTTTATTAGCACCCAAGTAAAAGGGTTTTCGTAACGTCTGTTATGCTATTTATTGACAAACATTACCACTAAGCCGTTTGGTTGGAAAAACCACATTCTACTTTAAAGTCGGAATATGAATACAGTCACGTTCCAGTGTGCTGTACTCCACCCTCACTGATCTGTAAGTAGTATGCAGCTGAGCGTCGCTTGTAAGTTGCTATCGCTGCGAGGTGTGCCGAGGCCGAATAACTCAATGTTTTAAAAGTATTTTGAGACCAGAAAAGAAGCAAGAGTAGACTGTTTATCACCAGCTTAGATCGCAAAATACTTGACAGATGCAAATAGACTAGGTGTACGTATTTCATAAAGTATGTTTTCTCATCAAAAATATTTTTTTCCTTTCAAACTTGTCTTTATACTGTACCTGTATGTCTTTTAAAGTATAATGAAAGTCGAATGTTCGGACAGTACATCTAAGTCCAGGACTGAAATCTCAATTAAGCTTCGAGGGATTATAGGTATTGACTTTAGAGACATCATATTAGTCAAGCTTGTTTCTTTGTAGTCATCGTAAAAGGATCACAGTCTTTTATAGACTCATGCGATCAGTGATAAATAGGAATTTCATTCCGTTAACACTGATAACACGTAAGAGTGCAAAGCCAGAAAAGGACGGATGGTCCTGGAAGAAGATTAGGCAGTCCTAGAAAACAAGAAATGAATGCATTTGCGTAATTACAAACGTCTGACAGGTATGTCACCCTGTCTCTAATTATTGGAGCTTTTCATTCGATTTTTCACGAATATCTTCTTAGAGACATTTTCTTCTGGCGTCTGTGATTTTGGGCACTCAAATGGGAATTGTTGTAGTATCGGTCTTCACAGATGCATAGCATAAAATCAAACATCAAAGTAGTTGTTTACGTTGATCACCTCGTTTATCACTAGCTGTGAAGAATTTACCTACTTAATTTTAATACACAAATCTGTGTGCCTGGGAGTAACTGGGGATAAGTAATTTGAAACCCTTTCACCTTACAACTCAAATGAAATCGGATGTAATGATTCCATCGTAATACTAAATTTGTACTCTGACCCCGAATACCAGCTTTCCCAAAAGTATTTGATACAAGTGTCCCTCACATATTTTATTGCTAAATTACCGCGACTATATTTGTTTTGCAGATTATCCGAATTAGAGGTTATGGGAAGATTATCAGTTCATTGATTTGTAACCGATGATCCTTACCGACTATATTCATCTTTAGTGAGCTACTGACACGCACAGATAAATGGGTCCTTGGAATGAGTTGGAAGTAATCTAGCTTATATCTAGACGTAGTTGTAACTGGTCGAACTTCGATCGTTGAATATGTTTAAAGCTGGTTAATAAATGATGATATCTTTTTATTTTTCTGTTAGATTATTTTCACTATGTCTATTCTTTTCGTTTTTTTCCCTGTAGAAAACAAGAAACACCTACGCCGACTGCAGCTTTACCTCCCCCGGTGCAGCACCCTGCACCAAGCCCTCAAACTCAAAAACAATTACCAAAACATGAAGCTTCTCACAGGCTTCGTCGGGAAGCTTCGATGTTTGGAATTACTCCCCAATAAGAACTACTAGTATTCATAGAAGTGGAAGAATATTCCAAATAATAGGATTACTCTATCTTTTATTTTCACGTGCAAACGCGCAAACTGCATATGGAAACCTTTTATCTCCAAGTTATCCTACTATGCATTGTGTCGACGATGTCTTCGTCAGACTTTTTCATTTACAAAAGAAATCACCATTTTGGTGTTTTGTATGTGGTTTCCTACCTTATGTTAAACTCTTCGTTGGTATCGTTTGTCTCACATCGGTTCGATTATTTCTTGCCATTAGGGATTGTAAAGCATTTCACTGTCGTTTACCTCGGAGTGTTAACTGAAAATCCCCGTATAATTTACCTTAACTATGTTTACTTATGTTATCATAAATCATAAAATTTAATGTTCAGCTTCCTCTTGTATCGACCTTTCAAAATTAACATGATAAGTACACACATTCATAAATATATATTCATAAACGGATGTTTGTTTCACTAATAAGAGGGACATTTACAACTCGCACAGTTCTCGTATTCGTTCTTTCGTCATGAACGCGCGACCCACACCAGTTTTTCGATATTCGGCGCGTACACTTAGATATTGTTCTTCGAATTTTTTTACTTCTTCTGGGTCTTGAAGATACCTGAAAAGAAGCCACAAAAATGACTGACTCATTGTGGAAATATTGAAATGGCTATGTAACCCATATAAGTAATTAAAACGTGAAACTACTAGTTCTAATTGTCCACTTTAGTGATAACGCATATTTCGTCCGAAAAATATTTGTCTTACCTATCCTGACACTGTTCAAATATCCGGTACTTTGGTCTACAGTTCCATGTACCGAACCACTCGCCCCGCTTTTGTCGTATACATTTTCGCCAACCTTTCCACTCTTCTGTACATAGTTCACTGATAAGTTTTTCTTGCACAAATTTTGAAATTACGCACCCGCGTTCTGCGTCGGAGATATACTTGCTGTTAGGGTCACCTACTTAAACATATGAGATAACAGGCAGGTTACCAAACCCAACGGGACCCCCAGTATAAGAAGCATAGCCTTGCATTTTAGTTTTTGTAGGTAGCCGGTATAGACCCTATATATTGTTTGGCTGAAACGAGAATAAGAACAATGATGCACGGTGCTAAACATTATAACAAATACTAACAAGCTACTGCTTCTCCCTTATCTAGTGTTTTATGACACTGAAATCACCAATGTGTTTTAGGTAGCGATTTTACTGTGATGAAAATCCGTAAGCACATGATACTCCATGGAGAGTTGATCTTGGGTCCTCAATTTACATTTTCTGAGACCTAATCCCAGGAAAATATATCATTAAGTATTTCGGCTAACCAGTCGCATCTCTTCGTATATAGCTGTTTACAAACATTTTGTTAAGCGAGGTGAATTATGAACCGATTTCATGTCGGCGGAAGTTGGCTACCTGTAACAAAAATGTAGTAACTTCTTGTGGAATTGCAAACTAAAAAAGCTTTGGCATCCAGACAGCAAGTATTATATTGGGCGGCTACTAACTGCTTCAAACCAGTGTTGTTCATATGCATAATTTGATTAAAAGACCGCATATAAAAAAAGGCTGGAGCGAAAGAGCAGCGGATAGACTGACCACTGAGATTTCTGATGGCGGTGGCCCAGTTTTAGCAGTGAGATTAGCTAAGCCCTTAAGGGGAATTTGGGAGCAGCATGTAATCCCATCTGACTCGTCTCAATCACTGATTGTCCCAGTCGACATAAAAGGACGAAAGCCCTCGTAACAACCAGTTACACTAATATACAGCCTGAAGTGTACGCTTCAGTAATACTTCGATGGCTAACTAGAACACGTGTAAAGCAGACCAGAGGAAACCTGGTTGGTTTCAGAACTGAACGAGGATATATAGATCTTTAAGCTTGCCCTAAGACCGAGACACATTCATGCATCATTCGACTGTGTTAGTCGTAAGGCTGTATGACTTTCAGGAACCAAACTTTGACCAACGGACTCAGAATATGCCGACGAGCTAGCTCTACCTGCTTTAGGCATAAGGCAAAACACCTTTTAACCTGGTGACCCCCGAAGCCGACATAACGATGGACCCAACTAGATCACATCGCTATAAGCCATCGGTGAAGAGGCACTGTAAAATACTGCCGCCCATTCTGGAGCACTTGTTTATGCTCAGACCAGGCTCTAGCACGGTGGTGTATTTGTTTGCGCCTTACTGGACGCAAGGAAACCTGTTAGGGCTCTACTTAAGGTTTATAAGGCTAACAATATATTTCAGGAACAACTAGAAAAACAGTTGGGAAGCCACTTAGTAAGTTATGCCCACCCTGAGGCAGCTTGGAATGATATCAAGAAGGCTGAGGAAACAGCAGTGATATCTTCTAGTAAATTAGACCATAAGGTTAGGGAGAAACCGTGGATTTCAGTAGCCTCTACCGAACTGATGGATGCTCGAAAGCTCATCTGCATGGCTCTGAGTACGATGAGGAGCGGAGTCAGCTCAGGCGCAGGCTGATAAAACGCCTCCGCAATGACTGAGAACAGTGATGGGTAGCGAAAGGGAGATGGAAAAGGCAACGGCGACAAGCAACAGTAGGCAACTATTCCGACTAATCAAGTAAACCGGTATTAGGAACCCAAATGTGAGTGAGAATATTTCGGAAAAGAATGATCTTATCATTCGTTCTTAATCCAGAAGATTGAATCAATGGACAGAACACTTTAGGGACCGGTTTAACTGGCCTTCAGCCACACTGGTTTCAGACCTGGCTGTATAGACCACATCTTCACACTACGACAGGTCCTCCAACACAGACACACATCTAGGCGTCCGACAATAGTTGTCTTCCTGGACCTTAAGGCAGCATTTGACTCTGTGGATCGTGAGATTCTGTGGCTGTGTCTGTCATTAACACGTGTACCAAAGAAGTACATTAACCTTATACAAGCTTTCTACTCGAACAGTACAGGTTGAGCTTTCGAACCATCGGTTACTATCGTCTCGCAGACCCCAAGCAAGTAGTCTACACCAACCAAAATAACGCAGTCTAGTTGCCGGTGAATTCTTGGATTTCTGACATGATTTGGTCTGGACGCTCCAAGCTCTTGTCCAGCCTACACAACAAAACATAGCTCGACGAGGCAGTCGGTAGTTAGGCATACGTAACACATGTCCCAAGCACCTCAATTGATGAAGTTTAATTAGTTCATCCATTGACCCGCCATCATCACCCATTTCTTAACAACAGTTTCGCTTACTCATCGGGTGTCCCACGATACTCGAGCAATGTTTTGGAGACACGTATGACCGAAAACCAGTAACCTACTAATATCTGCTACTCTGACTGGTCGTGTTTCACAGCCATAAAGTATGACGGAGCAAACTACTGCGCCGTACACTCCTCTAGTCAGCAAACGGATATCTCGCCTACACCGTAAGTGACGCAAGTTGACAAAAGCTAATCGAGCTTTCTGTATCCGAGCTGAGATTTCGTCAGTCACTAGGCCATCGGCACTGATGAGACTCCCAAGATAAGTGAAGCGGTCAACACGCTCAACTGCTTCACACCCTATCACTAGTTCAGGTGCCAATTCAACCCAATCTTGAAGCAACATTTTGCATTTCGAGTGTGGGGAATTGCATCCCGAACATGTTTGCATTATTGCTTAGGGTAGTCAGAAGACTGCATTTTGTCAGCCTTTTCACCGAAAAGAACTATCTCAACGGCATATTCTAGTTCAATAAGCGAGCCTCCTGGTAGAAGGTCTACTGAAAATTCAGACGAAGATAATGTTATACCTAGAGGCAGGTCTATGACAAAATTGAACAAGAATGGGGAAAGTGGACTTCCCTGACGGACACCACTTGAAGTGAAGAATTCCGATGACAGTTCGCCATATGTTCTGGCTCAACCTGTACTGTTCGAGTAGAGAGCTTGTATGAGGTTAATGTACTTGTTTGGTACACGTCTCAATGATAGACACTGTGAAAATGTTGCATTTTGAACTGAACGTATGGAGTTCTACGTTGTTACTAACTGACTCCAAAGGTAATAGACAAAATATGACATGTCCGCAGTGTTTAAATACATAAAAATGATCGTCAAACAGACAAAAACTACCGCAAGAGAAGAGGAAACACAATCTTAACCTCAAGCTATTCTGCTTTCAGTGGTATTGGAAATTCAGATATTTTTCAGAAATACCCATATATCGGAAACCAATGGTTACACTGCTTACAGTACTTCCGTCACCGAATCTAATGACACAGACAATAAGATGAGTAAAGTGTAAAATTACAATCTATGCTAATACTGATCCATCATTCATCGGCATTTAATTAAAACGAGCGACGCGTAGTGACTAACATATAAACCATTTGGTAATTTTTTCAAATTCGCAAATGCCTCTGCAACTAATTTTACTGACTTGACATCTAAATAGCTTGTTCTGAACATTTATACCAGGATTTCCAACTTCAGGGATTTTCGACAACCTCAAGTGTCTTTGGCAAAAAGTACCGTACCAAGTGTCTTTAGGTCACATTTCCTCGGACTTTACTGTTGCGCATTCTCCGAAATTGGTGAAACTTTCCAATAAGTGAAGAGATACCAAGATGAGGAGTTACCTAAGCTGCAGCATGTTTCAGGCGAACTACTTCGAAGTATCAAAAGTAAGTCAAGACGAATGCGAAGACAACCTAGAGCAGTCAATCTGGTAATTCCCAACTCTTTTTACCTTTGCAATGGCACAATTGCATCCATTCGTTGTGCTATCTCAAATCCTAATCTTCTGGATTCGTATTTCTGACCTTATCTCACTGAATTATACTTCTTGAATAATATCTTCAAACTCGTCTTTTTCATTACCATTAATACCTCTACTATCTCTACCACTTTGGGATTTCATTTGACATTCGCGTCTCTAGGCTAATGTGGTATGGCAACCTGAACTGATGTACTCACGTACGAAGTTCTACGTTGCAAATGACTTACCTTAAAGTGTCCCACCCCCTTCCTTGAAAACAGGTACACAGACCGAACGAGGAAACGAACTACTAGGTGAATGATAGGGCCAAAAAACAATCTAAGGAATACAATGCCCAGCACTTGGGACTTGTCTCGCTGTTATGAAAGAATAAGAAATGACACAATATACTGAGAACATCAAGTCAACCCAACTGTAGCATCGTAACAGTACACCACCACCAAGCCCTCCAAAGAAACCCTTAAAAAATCATAATCACCTACAAATCATCATTTCCCCTACGACCATTTTTGCGTGACGAATGTCTTGAAACTTGATTATTATTATTATCACCATCTAATATCAGTAACTTTCAACCTACCTTGCTAATTATCATCTCTGTTTCCCCATTCATCTAAATACTTAGGTGCACTCCTACACTATATATACTGTTAATTAATATTACTTATTTAGTTCCTGGAATATCCTTCTTCCCCTAATCATTTGAATTTTCACTTCATTGAAACCAACTGATGTTCGGCCAGGTGATAAGTGCTAGCAGCCAGACACACTACTGCCCTGAAACGAACAAATTACCTATAATGACAGAAAATACAAGTACATAAATAACTACCAGCTAACGGGTAAAATGAACAACCAGGCACAGGATATCACTAAGTACCAGAAACCGAGCAGAAGAAACAAGTAGCCAGCGCGGATATAACAAACGGTTCAATTAGTTCCAATATCCAATATCAATAGCTAGTAAAAACCAACTGATTTCTTGTTCTTTCGGTGCGGTTCCAGGTGTTCGATTGTGTCCGATTGATGGGGGTTTAGCCACTCGACTGCACTAATTCTAGTCGGTTAGTAGTTGTTTGTGAGTTTGTATGTCTCAGAATTTGAATGAAAACTTTTGTTTCAGGGCAGTACGGTTTCTGGTTACCAGCAGCTATCGCATTACCAGACCATAGATCAGTTAGTTGTAATGCGGGGAATAAAATTAAGAGGATTCTAATTCTAATAAGAAGAATATTTTAGGGCCAAGTCAAACAATAGGTTACTTAGTTTATCAATTGGTAGTGAAGATTGTGAGAGAGGACCTAAGTGTAAGCAAGGGAGAGGAAACAGAAATGATAGGCGAGACAGACTAGTTAGTGATCCAAGGAGATGGCAATAATGATGACTAGCAAGTCTCAAGACATGCATCAGGAACAGCTTGTCCACAATGGAGATGATAATCCGTATGTGAGTACATGTTTATCAAGTCCCTTCTCAAGGCTCTTCACTGAGGGGGCTGTGATAACCTCGATTGGGAGAGCATTCCAAGCTGCAATGACTCCTAGTGACAAAACGTGTGCACGAACCTGAGTATTTGCTCGTTGCTGCGCAATTTTCCGAGGATTCCCTCGAAAGCAGTGGTAGTGAAGAATCGGTAAGATGCTGACGTTGGAATGACTTGGCGTGCTTAAAATGTTGTACACCATAACCAGATCACCTCTGATTCTCCTGTACCTCAGAGGGAATAATCACACGTTCTGGAGTCTATCTTCTTAAGTTTTAGCATTCAACCCTATCACCCATTTCGTTGCTCGTCTCTGCACTCGATCCGTGAGATTTATATCTTTGTTAAAGAGAGGGGGTGCGATGACGTTGTGAACCTCAAGGTGTGGGTGCGTGTATGTCTTAGACAGCGTCAAGAATAATTCAGGATTGATAGCACCAGGTTATCTTCGCATAAATTTCACAGCTGCATTAGACTTGGCGGCCTCCCCTCTAAAGTTCGAGCTGGTGTGGAGGCTTCCAGTGGTTATCATACCGAGATCTCACTTTGAGGAGACATTAGGGAGCAGACGTCCATTGAGAGTGTGAATCATTTGCGTCATGTGGGGCAGAATATACATAACGTGACAGTTCGGCTGGTTTAGTAAAACCGTTTATCACTGCTCATTCCTCGATGGATATAAGGTCCTTTTGAGGCTCAGTCGAATCCTCTTCGCTTCTAACGGACCTCCAAATCTTTGCATCGTCTGCATACATCAATGCCAGCGAACTAAATGTGTCTAACAGGCAGTTAAGGACTATCAGGAAGAGAAGTAGAACTATGATGGTCCGCTGTGAAACTCCGGATGTTGAGACTCGCTAAGTCACGTGCACTCTATTAACCTTGGTACGAAACTTCCTATTCTCAAGATAGTTGTTTCTCAGCCAAGATACGAGTGGGTCAGTGAAGCCTGTTTTCGCAACCTTTGCGATTAGGCGTGCGTGTGGTACTGTGTCAAAGGCTTTTGCAAAGTCAAGCAATATTATGTGCACCAGTTTTTTTCGGTCCAAGCAGGATGTCCAACAGTCCCATGCTATGGGAAGATTATATGCGCACGATCTGCCTTTCTGAAACCCGTGTTCAGCTTCATGGAGTATTTTGTTTTTATCCACGTACTCGCTCACTTGTTCGTTCACTAGTACTTCCATTTGATAGTGTTGGCAGTGATGAGGATGGTCTGTTACAGACTGGACCTTCCTGTCTTGTCCATAGAATATTTTAGAGAGAATAGCTTGTTTCCATCCATTTGGGAGTTGGTGTGACTCCAGTGAATGCCTGAACAGGTCATATATCGGTGAACAGAGAGCTTCTGCACATTGTTTCGAGACTATGGATCGAATATTATCTCAACCTGATGACCTTTCTGGGCTAAAATATTTTAGTTTCCTTAATACTAGGCCAGGAATTATACGAGTAGTCCCTAGACTGTCAGCTGTCTCTAGTTTTGAGTAGTACTCTGGACATGTAGATACTTGATTTAATTGATCAGTTAAGTTTGTGTTTAATATCTCAGCCATTACTAGATTGGTGAGATCTCCGATATTTGAACCTTTGAGGGAACAGAACTCCTGATTCGCAGGTTTTCTTTTAGCCAGGATCCTAAACAAATACTTCCAGTTTGCCTGTATTTTGACAGCTAGCTTCATCTGAATATATCTCCTATCACTTCGAGATTTGATATTGCGTCTGTTTCTCAATGACAAGTATTAACTACGATCGGCGTACTTCGGACAAACCCTCCAGCAGTAGAACGGAGCGAACGGAGCAGCACACTCTTTCTTTAGTCAGCAAACGGATTTCTCGGCTACTCCATAAGTGACGTAGGTTGGCAAAAGCTAATCGAGCTTTCTATATCCGTGCTGAGATTTCGTCAGTCACCACGCCTTCAGTACCGATGAGACTGCCGAGATAAGTGAAGCGGTCAACTACTACTAATACAAAAACTCCAGGAACGGCATTTCCGTTACAGTTAGGTGAAGACTTCAGGTCATAGGATTCGAAGACTCTTAGTTTTTCGAACTTGTGAGACCTCTAGTTGGGAGTTACCTAAGTTGTATACTTCTCACTGCGATGTGTTGAAATTAAGTCTGTTGCAGCTCTCTAACTTTCAAAATGAACAGGATCCTCCACAAGAACCAGCCCATAGTCTTGGCTGCAAGCAACTCTCCAAAGTGTAGCATCGTCCAGAGTGAACCATATGCTGTCAACCAAATGTTTCCTTGTTTAAATGACGCAGTTTCTGATAAACCAAATTAGTGCTTTGGTTGACTTCCGAAATTCATCTTGGGTCGTTTGTAAAGCTCTCGCTACTATAGGTAAACTGCGACGATTGAAATATAGAAGGTACTGTTTCAGTGCGACCTACTTCTCAGTTTTCAGTGGCCTTGAACGGCCGTAATAATGGCATTCAGTGTGTATTTCAGGATGTATGAACAATTCTTAACTCTGCAACACGAATTTCTAGTACCCATTATAACGTGAGCTCAATGTTGAACTGGTGCTATCCCTAATATTTGACTAGTATCTTGATTACTGACACATAGCAGCTGATGTGACGGTTGGCTATGCATTTGCGTATCTCGAGGCGGTACACGTGATTACTGGTTACTTTGTATTCTCGGTATATCTGCGCCTGAATCTGCAGGATATTTTGAAAAAATTCTCATTCGTCGTTCGCTTGATAAATAATGCTTCGTTTTATATTTTTCAAATGAACAAAGCTGCGTTGTTTTGTCAGTTGTTTCCATAACCTGCCAATCAAATCGTGGTTGAGCGCTCACCACTTGATCTGGTCTGACGTGTCTGCAAACTATCTTTGTGGTAAATGACCTATTTACTGAAGGACATTATTGTCTTCTTATATTGATGTGACTCATAATTTTATTCATTACCAGAAGACATGCTATATTGGTTAGTATCTTTGCTTGTTTAACTTGACTCACTATTCCCCAATATTGCGTTCAAAGTTATGAAACTGCATCTGTAGGACGAATTAAATCCTGCAAAGCTTCGACCGATTTTCATCAGAACCTCATATACTAAGTAGTTTTAAATGTCCACGGAGTATCATAAAACTGATCAGATTCCTGAAATGTCTCCCCATTACTTGGAAACTCATAGTGAAGACCAGTTTTGAAGAAATATCTTCCGAATGGATCCCTTGTTAGAGTAAGGATTAGCTAAAGTACGTCTGGCTCAGACAGAAAGAGAAACTGAGTTAGGACGATTACTTCAGAGGGGTAGAAATTATTGTAATCAAGTTGTGGATGACAAGGTTATGTCATACGAGTCTACATCTGCCTCACGTACAGCTGATATCAATCCTGGAAGGTACTGGATAGGAATGATATCTGAAGCTTTAGACCTACCCAAGAGAGTAGCTTAGAGTGGTGACCGAATCAAGATTGACTATGATCACCACTAAATGTTCCATACTATCCCGTCACTTAAATCAAAAAAATCCGTGCTTGAATATTTTACTGAAGGAGAAGGTAGGCGTTACATAGGGAGTAGCGCGTTATGAAAAATGGCAGCAACGCGAAGAGAACGTTGCGCGCAAGAAGTGTTTTAATACAGTTAAACAAAACGAGTACAAGAATGTTTATTTTTCACAAATCGTATTTTCTTCGAAGAAGCGTTCCACTTCATGCTGCTTTTAGTCTCATCGTTCTCCAATCGACCCACCTGGCATGGTAGAACCTTCAGGAACATATGTTCCAGCCAATATAGTTCGGTTGGGTCATCACGATAGGTTAGCCCGACCACCACGTCAAGGGAGCAGCTTCAGTCGGGTATGTCGTACGAGTCTGCATCTTCCTCACGTACAGCTGATATCAATCGTGGAAAAGACTGGATAAGAATGATATCTAAAGCTTTAGACCTACCCATGAGAGAAATCATAAGGTTTGATGGTAATCCCATGAACTATTGTAGTTTCATGCGAAACTTCAAAGACTGTTTTGATGAAAGCGTTGGATTTCGATCTAAGTTAAACTATTTGATCCAGTATTGTGATGATGAAGCTAAGGCTATTACTGTTCATTGTGCATTGCTTGAACAAGAAGAAGGCTATCGTAAATCGTTAGAGCTTCTTGAGAATATATTCGGTCAGAAACACATAGTAGCTCATGCATTTATCGATAAGATGCTGAACATCAAAGCCATTAATTCAGAGGACTGATCCAGACAATTTAAGAAGGCTGGCACGTGGATGCATGTTTGTCAGTTAACGCTCACACAAATGAATTATCTATTTGATCTGAATTCTACAAAAACCAAAGAATGCGTTTTTAAATCTCCCACTATACCTACAGAGGGAATGGGTTAAAGTAGTATGCTGAATTCGCAAGACGGGTAAGGACCCTTCATTTAAGGACCTATGTGAATTTGTGAAGGAACAGTCAGATATAGCTCATACAAGATACGGCCTACTTGTCAACCGCAGCAATAATAGTGACAAAAGGGATTTGGGTGTTTTGAAGGGGAAAACCAATGCAAGTTGCAACACAGCAGGGATAGCATATGCGAGCACCAATGATGGCAATGCCTCCTTACGAA